AAATGTAATAGGGTTTGATTCCGTCTTTGTTTAATGTAACATTAAGAGAATACAGTTTCCTTTTTTCTGTATCCTCTTACATGTAATCCATGACTCCCTAAGCCCGTCTACATGCACATGAACACCTGCTGCTCCTGCCCACACACATACTTACAAACACACCGTGTTCTTGGCACCGTGTGAGCTTCATGTGAGTCTGTTTTGTCTGAAACCTTTGTTTATTTATAGCTCTCTCTTTTGTCCTTCCTGGAGGTCTGACTCAGAAAGACGCTTTTACATTTCATCTGTTTCAATATCTCAAGATCAAACAACAACAGGGTTTGACGCAGCTGGAGAGTGAGCAGGGAGAGAGGGTTACTTTCAAAATGTGATTCTTTACTAGTTACCTGTAGAAAGATATAATCAGTAACTTTATCTGAGTATCACAATATAAAAGTAATGTAACCTGATTACTTTCTGTTACTTTAGGATTCCCTTTAACCCTCCTATTGTCTTCATTCCCCCCCCCTTACTTTGGTGCTCATGGTCAAATTTGACCGGTCCTGTTTTAACTGCTATTACATTAACACAAGAACCATTAATCATCACCAAATGTCCTTTAACACCCTTTCAAACTGTACATATTGTATCAGACTACTGGTATACATGAAAAACTGCAGTAAATATACAAAGAATAGACACTGAACATGTATTGCGTGTGCCAGGTGTGATCCATGTGGGGGGGATGGGCACATAAGAGCGGGAAATGTGTCAAATTGTTTTGTGTGTGTTTGTGAGTGCCAGGTGTGATTCACATTGGGGGATGGGCACATAAGGGGAGGGAACACATCTAGTGTGTGTGTGTGTGTTGTGTGTGTGTGTGTGTGTGTGTGTGTGTGTGTGATGTGTGTGTGTGCTGTGGATGTGTGTGTGTGTGTGTGTGTGTGTGTGTGTGTGTGTGTGTGTGTGTGTGTGTGTGTGTGTGTGTGGTGTGTGTGTGTGTGTGTGTGTGTGTGTGTGTGTGTGTGTGTGTGTGTGTGTGTGTGTGTTTGTGTGTGTGTGTGTGTGTGTGTGTGTGTGTGTGTGTGTGTGTGTGTGTCAGATTTGACCCGAAGACAACAGGAGGGTTAAATCAAATGCAATACAAATAAGTATGTTGTGCAAATCAATAAGATGTTTTTCACTTATGTGTATTTCTGTAAGACAACATAACAATGTGACCTTAGAAACCAAGATATTTAGGATAATAAATGTGGTATATTAAATGATAAGCTTGGCATAGTATAGTTTCTTAAATGCTGTTTTAGTTTAACACGTGAATTCAAAGCAAACACAGTATGTTTGTTGACTAAATCAGGTGTCCACCTACTGCCAAAAAGATCGTTCAGGCAGTATGTCTACCTATAATAGAGGTCGATCTTTATTTTAAAACGTATTCTAAGGTTGTTACCCTGCTAGAAATCCAACAGTAATCTGATTACATCTTTCTTTATGTAACTGTAAGGGAATACTGTCCCCTTTACATGTAAACAGTAACTCCCCAAACCTGTCTATGAGTTCGAATTAAATTCAGGTTTGTAATATAAACACGGGAAACGTGTGGTGCAGTGGGTTAGTGCGTTGGTGTTCGGATCAGGGGGTCACAGGTTCAAACCCCACTGCAGTCAGCATGTCGTTGTGTCCCTGAGACACTTCACCTTAAATTGCTCCTGTGGGGATTGCCCACAGTATTGAGTATGTAAGTCGCTTTGGATAAAAGCGTCTAACAAGTGACATGTAATGTAATAAAGGATAATCCTCTGCAACATGAACAGATCACTTTGCCAGTAACCACAAGAAAATTAAGGTTTTTGCAGGAGAAAAACTCATGAATAGAATACAATATCTATACATTAAGAAACAGCAGTACGGCTAGCTGCTTTACAAATAGAGCACACACGAAGGAAAACACAATATATTGACTACAACCCCCATAGACTGTACAGTGTATTATACAATACGAAGTCAACGTACTGGATGACTACAATCGATGTGCTCATGTTTATAGCAAGTTTAAGGATGTACCTAATGTCATTTTTTAAGATATTATTGTTTTGAATTAAGCTAAAGATGTCGGTCGTCACATCTTATAAAATCATCCGTTTGTATTAAAGGTAGGGTAGGTAATTTTGGAGAAACCAGCTCGAGTGCGCTAGAATTTGAAAATACACAGCCGGAAAAAATCTGCCACTTCCTCACAGAGCCCCTCCTCCAACACACACGAATGCGCACATGACCAATGAGGGCACGAGATAAGTTTGTGCACAGATGGAAGGCTGACAGGCAGGTAGGCCATCCAGTTATTTTAGCCGGGCCGGCTCAGATGATTGGTCGTGCTTTTTCAACACAGTCTCACGGCATTTCGTGTTATAGTCACGAAATTAATCTATTGATTCGTGTTCACCAACACGATTTCGCCATTTTTTTCGTGTCACACAGAACGATTTTAAAAGCAATGTAAATAATAACAAATTAGAAGGAAAAACAGATACAAAAAAATACAGATTTAAGTATTCTGACACAAAACGATTTTAGAAGCAATGTATTTATATTGATAGTATGTTTCGTGCCTGCACCAAATAATAACAAATTAGAAGGAAAAAAAGATGACAAAAAATACAGAGTTCAGTATTCTGAGGCTCTGAGACATTTCTTTTCCTCACGGACGGCAACAAAACTCAGACATTATACAATTTAAAATAAAAAGGGTTAGGCTTAGGGTAAGATATTGAGTAAGAACATGTTTTTATGAACCACACAGCTTCTGGTCTTCCAAGACCCGACCGGACAAAAAGACGTGTTGCAGGCACGAAACATACTACCAATAGAAATACATTGCTTTTAAAATCGTTCTGTGTGACACGAAAAAAATGCGAAAATCGTGTTGGTGAACACGAATCAATAGATTAAATTAATTTCGTGACTAATAACACGAAATGCCGTGAGACTGGGTTGGCTTTTTACAGTACTACGGCTTCCACTGATGATATTTTTTTATGGATTTTTTGTCAAAGCACTTAAGATATTCATTGCTATCAGGATGTTAAGAGCATTCCATGGAATATAACAAAAAGTGTATCTCGAGCCGGTTTCTCAAACTTACCTACCCCACCTTTAAGTGATTCACCAGATTAAATAAGTGGTATTAGATTTTAACTACACGACCATCATAGTCGAATTAATGTTCAAATAACAACATCAACGTGTTGTCTAGAGAATGAATCTTTAATTTGTGTCTCTTTTCGGCACATTTTTACACTCAAGTTATGTGTGTAAGAAGTTGGAGAGACAATCTGTAACCAAAACTTAACAAGAGCAGGATTTAAGAGGCGTATAATTAACACGATAAGAATATTTAAGTATTTCAAAATACAAAAAAATAAAAATAAAATACAAAAAACAAACCAACAAAAAGAAAATAATATTAAATAAAAAAGAAATACAAATAAAATAAATTAAAACAATACATCCTCTCCCTTCCCAGGTCAATTAACACAGGACTGAATAAAACCATGATCCCTCAGGGAGCTGAGTCAAGCTCCGGTGAGTTTCTGTCGGAGTTGCTGGAAGAAAACCAGTGTTCAGCAGTATTAAAAATACACACAAGTCATGTTTTATCACATGTTTCACCCCGGGAGGAAATGAGCGACCAGAGAATAAATATGCTTATTGAAGAAAGAAATGTCAAGCGCGAGATATGACTGTGTGGTGGAGGTTATGATGCTCAGAGAACAACTCGATCCATTCAGGACGAGCTGCAGGGTTTCTCTGGAGCTCTCCCACAGCTGAGCGTTTTCTTTCTCCACCTGTCAGCCTGCTCTCTTTGTCCGGCGTTTCCTTTGTGAGGCGAGCGATTCAGGCCCGGAGAGATCATCTGTCCCGCTGCTGAGCCAGTGTTGGGAGAGTAATGAAAAATTCACAATCGCAAAAAAGATCCTTTGCTGTATCGGTTTACCCTGTTCTCAGGGAAAGGGAGGCTAATTTAGTTTTTTGTGCAAAGCTACTTGCAAATGAATTAGTTCTCTCTCTCACCGTCACACACACACACACACATACACACACACACACACATACAACACACACACATACACACACACACACACACACACACACACACACACACACACACACTCGCACTCGCACACACACACTCACACTCACACACTCGCACTCACACACACACACACTCGCACTCACACACACATTCACACACTCGCACTCACACGCACACTCTTTGTGACATTTTGCCAGGACAAGACCTCATTAGCACAAATGCTAAAACAAGTGCTAACCAGACTCACACACACACACACACACACGCACACACACGCACACACACACACACACACACTCACACTCACACTCACATTCACACTCACACACTCGCACTCACACACACACTCTTTGTGACATTTTGCCAGGACAAGACCTCATTAGCACAAATGCTAAAACAAGTGCTAACCAGATTACAGGCATTGTATTACATTTAGACATGACTGTAAAGGCTGCTTCGACCACAGTCTCACACCTATCACCTCCATCAGGGGCTTCAGTGGTACATCCTGGTACTTGGTAAGATATCGACCAAAGTAGTATTACAGTAAAACTTCTCCTGCTGCTCGTCTTCTTCTTCATTTGCTTATCCTTTTCAGGGTTTGTAGGAGGTAGACCCTGAAAATATTGCAAGTCTTTGTCACATAGAAAAAGACAGTCGCCATGTAACCATATAAGTCGTTGAACTGGGAAGGAAAGCCAAACAGCCACGGGACAAACATGCAAAAAAATAACTTTGACTTTGGATAGTTGTTTCTGTTCTAATGTATCTAGTGTGATAAGATGTTTTCGGTATAGGTGTGCAGACGTATACACATCTGTTGGTGCTCACTAAGGAATCACATGTCTTTCTGTAGCTTCACCAATCAACTTCACTATTAACTGTGAGATTGAAAAATGTTGATTTGTGTTTCTTTGTGTTTCCTCAGCATCCTGTTCGCAGACATCGAGGGTTTCACCAGCCTGGCGTCGCAGTGCACGGCGCAGGAGCTCGTGATGACGCTCAACGAACTGTTCGCCCGATTTGACAAACTGGCAGCGGTAAGGATATACATTGAACCTTATTTCATAGACAATAATGGTTCGTTTTTGAGAGTATTCGCTGATTACTCCTATGCAAATATCAAAGAAAAGCAGAATTAATTTCCAGATTGATGGGACAGAAAATATAGAAATATAATTGACCACATCGCAGCCGATTTAGCCGATTCCTTTTCTCTTGTATTCATTTTGAGGTAATCCAAAAGTAACAGAACTTTTAACAGAGCTTTTTAAGGAGAGGAGCTGCATCTCAAATCTCACACTCAAATGTGAACCACAGCTTCATAGAGGCTGCGTTCATGAATATTGATTTTATTTTTACTTCGTGCAGAAGCGTCATTATTTTTACAGCTAGTATTCAATGTTTTTGAAAGGTGAAATAATGTGCTAATCAATATTCATGAGTGAAACAGGGCCAATGTCATGCCAGATGGAACACACACACCCACACACACACACACACACACACACACAAACACACACACACACACACACACACACACACACACACACACACACACACACACACACACACACACACACACACACACAGTGCTCTTTACACAGTGGGTCTTTTTGGTGTTTTCCCCAGAGCCATGTGCTAGAGGAGATACTTCAGGTGGTTATCTATGAGACACATTGTTCCAATAAACCCTACACACACACACACACAACACACACACACACACACACACACACACACACACACACACACACACACACACACACACACACACACACACACACACACACACACACACACACACACACACACACGCCGCTGTGAGGTCTTTAAGCTCTAATGCTAATTTGTGAAATCAATGCTAAGATGCAACTCTTGTAGAAATTCTGCTTTCCATGTATTTGTGTTTTATTGTGAGGTGCAAAAATGTAATAATGATTAACCCCACATGCAGTTATTTGATTGTCTTTTATTAAATATCTGTATTTGTTTATATTTCATCCCTTATTTGTTTATCTAAAAAGTACAATTTCAAATAGCGTTATATTATATTCTGTATATCCCTCCTAAAACCATCCAAAATAAAAACATAATAATAATAATAATAACGAAACAATTGTAGTTATTGAGAAAAAATATTTAAATAAAAGCTATATATTTAGCTATAGTTGTAATGCTGTGATTTAGTATCAATCAAGCCAAATCTGTCAGTTAAATGATAATAATAATAATACTACTACTAACAATAATAATACATTTTATTCAGAGAGTAATGTAATATAAAAGAATATATGTGTCTCTCCGCCTCCTCCTACAACAGCAGTTTGTGTGTACAGACAGAGAGATCGAAATACAGTTTCCCACAATCCCCAATACAAAAATACAAATATATATAAAAATATGTACACACCTATTTATACATATGCACACACATTGAGACCTAAATATAAGCACAACAATCAATATCCGGCAGTGGCTCAGTCAGTAGGGGCTTGGACCGGGAGCCGTAGCGCTGTACAATAGCTGCCCACTGCTCCTCGTACTAGACTCCTGGTACTAGGATGGGTTAGAAGCAGAGAACACATTTCACTGTGTGTGCTGTGTGCTCTGCATGTGTGACCATTAAAGAGGGTTTCATTCCTCCCAATATTATTATTATTATTATATAATATATACAAAATAACAGTCACTTCAATATCACTTCAATATCTTTGGGAAATGAACATTAGTGCATGATAAGTGGTTGTTCTTATCACCTGTGGTCCTCTCTCTCCCCTCAGGAGAACCACTGTCTGCGGATAAAGATCCTGGGCGATTGTTATTACTGCGTCTCCGGGCTCCCAGAGGCCCGCGCCGACCACGCCAGCTGCTGCGTGGAGATGGGGATGGACATGATCGAGGCCATCTCGTAAGTTACCCGGGGTCAAAAGGGCAAGTTAGCTGCAATTAAAACGCCTAATTAGGTAAAGTGGTGGGCAAGGCAAATGTATTTATACAGCACCTTTCAACACAAGGCAATTCAAAGTGCTTTACAAAAGTGAAAGACATTACGAGCATTAAGAAACATATTATAAAATGGCATTTAAAAACACTCATTTAAAAGCAAAGATAATAAAACATGAATAACACAGGTACATGAATAAACGTTACAGTGCAGTGTGAGATGTGAATAGTTCAATTAAAAGCAGCGGCAAATAGAAAAGTCTTCAGCCTGGATTCAAAAGTAGTCAGAGTTGCAGCGGACCTGCAGGTTTCTGGGAGTTTGTTCCAGATGTTCGGAGCATAATAACTGAACGCTGCTTCTCCATAGTAATGGAAGATCTTGTCTCAAATCTGCTCCATTATATAGACTTCTTGCACTATTTAGTATTTTTGTATTTGATTCGATATGTTGCATTGTTGGAGGAGCTCCACTACCCGCTACTGCTGACGTTACTAATTCATCCATTGTCTCTGATGTGTTTCCTCAGGCTGGTACGTGAGGTCACCGGGGTGAACGTGAACATGCGAGTGGGCATCCACAGCGGCAGAGTGCATTGTGGGGTGCTGGGACTCAGGAAGTGGCAGTTTGACGTCTGGTCCAATGACGTCACGTTAGCCAATCACATGGAGGCCGGGGGCCAAGCTGGGTATGAGTGTGCAACTTTAAAATTACTACAAACCTGTGGAAACCTGTGAAAAATGTACATTTACAGATGTGTTTATGTGTCTTCTTTTCAGACGAATCCATATCACCAAGTCCACTTTGAATTATCTGAATGGAGACTACGATGTGGAGCAAGGATCAGGGGGAGACAGGAATGCCTACCTGAAGAAGAACAACATAGAAACCTTCCTCATTGTGGGATGCAGTCAGAAAAGGGTACGCTACTCAATATTGTCTGAAATGTGTGCTGATTTCTGGTTGTTTTTATACAAAGCATTACATGATGTTTTAATAACTTGGCTTGTCATTTGAGTCAATGAGTAATTTTGAACCATTAAAATCATTGGATGATTCAAACAAGATAGAAACTTCAAAACATGTGTATGACTAATTAAGCTGTGTTTTAATCTGAAACTGAGGGCTGACGGTACATGACCCTCTCTGTAGGGGTTGAATTAGTCTGAAGCAAAGTACGTGACATCTTCTATTAGCCTACTCAGCAAAGTTGATTACTCCATTCTGATTGGTCAATTTGGACATTCCGTCAGGTTGTTAATTCTCGCTAACAGACCGCTGCTTAGGAGGATCAAGGGACTATTTGCAGTCATATCAATCTGCAGAAAGTCCGGTCGATTTAACGTCAGCTGTGGACAACAAACAAAAAATGCACTTTTTTATTTGTGGGGAGCCCGAAACTTTGGATTGATGATGGCCCCAGTAAAGAAAAGAAAAACAGAGCAAGAGAAGAGAGGAAAACAGTTAATAGACAGAGCATTAAACTTCGGAGAAATCCACACAAGAAGACAAACAGGAAGTAAACACTAACGGGAACAGCAGAAGGAGACAGACAGGAAGTAAACACTAACGGGAACAGCAGAAGGAGACAGACAGGAAGTAAACACTAACGGGAACAGTAGAAGAAGACAAACAGGAAGTGAACACTAAGTACAAACTAACGTGAACACAGTATGGGCTCTTTAGTGTTTAAAGATTGATTAATGGAAAAATAAATTGTGAACAGACTTGGACAGTTACAGAAAAACCTTGATCAGTTCTGCCTTCATTTTAAGTTACGTTATCCCTTTCTTAAACATCATCACAGGTAGAACTAACGGTACGTCCACACAGCAGCGTTAAAAAAATCTTGGAGGTGGGCGTATCTGAAGCTTGGGGATTTTTTGCGAGCAACGCGACCAACAACCAATCACATGAATCTCCCGCCCCCGACATACGAAGCAAAAAAGCCCGAAGTAAACTGGATATAAACTCCCCAAACAGGCGAAAACCTACCACTGTCTCTGCCACCTCCCTCCATGCCTGGCTCCTCCGGTTTGTATCCCGGTAGGTAAATAGGGACTGGTCATAAAGCACCGGGTGATTCCCTACCACTAATTTCTCCTCCATTTTTTGGAATATGAGGAAATGAACGTCTCTCCCAGCATACACGCGGTTTGATTGGCTAGCGCTTGAACTGTCAGATTTGCATACACGGGATTTGATTGGCTGACGCTTCCACCTCAGCTTCAAAAGTTGAACATTGCTCAACTTTTGAATCCTGAGATGCCTGGAAATCTCCGCTCTGCTTCCCACAATGCAGTTCGGCGAAAAGTGAGGCAAAGTGACGTCACCCCATTCAAAGTGAATGGGCAGAAGCGTTGGAAGATTTTTTTAACGCTGCTGTGTGGACGGGCCGTAAGAGTCTATCTACACACAGCCAGTCCATGTTGCTCATATCATTGTTTATACCCTGGGCTTCTGTCCATGTGACCGGAGTTAGTCCCTCTCTCTTGTTTATGACTCTTATCAGCTGTCTGTCCTGCAGCAGTATCACAAGCTGGGACTATAGATAGCGCGTCATGTGAAGTGAAATCTTCCTCTCTTTCTCTGAGACAGAGGGGGGGATTGTACAGTCTGATATTTCCATTTGGTTTTAGTTCTTTCTTTGGTTGCAAAAGTATATCCTAGAGCGAGTGTGTGATTTTAATGATAGGAAGCATCACAAGCAGAAAAGGATTGAGTTTAAAATGTGTGAACATGAAGGACTGATTGTTCGCACATATTAGATTATTTGGCTAAATACCGTGAAGTAAACAATCAACTGATTAAGTAAAAAGAAATGGATTAATATGCAACTTAGCATCATGATTTGCACATGATTCAACACCACAGTTTGTCTTAAGGATCAGCTGTTTCCATGCAAACAGAAGAGCTTTACATCAAGAATAGTGAACAGGAGCATTGATTAACAGCATGGCTATTGTATCGTGTAGTTTTAGAATGTATTTCAGAGATATTGCTAGAACTTTCCCACACCACACCGCTCCTCCGCTCCCTTCACTGGCTTCCAGTAACTGCTAGAATCCACTTCAAGACACTGGTAGTAGCGTACCATGCTGTGAATGGATCTGGCGCTTCCTACATCCAGGACATGGTTAAACCATACACCCCAGCACGTGCACTCCGCTCTGCATCAGCCAAACGGCTCGCTGCACCCGCACTGCGAGGGGGACCCAAGTTCCCATCAGCAAAAACACGTTGGTTTGCTATCCTGGCTCCAAAATGGTGGAATGAGCTCCCCATTGACATCAGGACAGCAGAAAGCTTACACATCTTCCGGCGCAGACTGAAAACTCATCTCTTTCGACTCCACTTCGAGAAATAAAATGACTAACAAAGCACTTATATACTAATAAATGACTGGCTTATCTAAAGCCAGTTGAGTAGCACTTGAAATGTTTTGGCTCTATGAAACCTGATGTACTTATATGATTCTGTTTTCTTCAAGTTTGTATCTTCTTGGTCGAATGCACTTATTGTAAGTCGCTTTGGATAAAAGCCTCAGCTAAATGTAATGTAATGTAAGGTAATAATGAGCTTCTTCTGAGCTTTCACGATGTTAGTTTTGTCGCTGGAGGTGAACACAAACTTTCATGAGCTTTAAGAATTACAAATAAGGCTCTATTGACTTCCATGGTCTGACAACTACACTTGTAAGTACAGACAAATTAAAAGAAAATGCTAATTTGACAACATCATTTACTGTATCATTTATTGAAGAAGGTCCCAACTAATTGACCCACTTTAAAAAGCAAAGAATTACAAAATATAAGTGGTTCAAAAGTGTTCAAAAGCACAGTAATTGTACTCGTTGACTATCGGCCAATGGATGTAGACAGATCATATGAATCATCATATTTCAGTAGCTGCATGATTGTTAGCCAAAACACTATGAAGACATTTGTGGCTGTAAATAAAGTGTATCTTTTGACTGAGATGTTGTAATGTAAGTGTTTCTATACCCTTGTATCTTTATTCCCTACAGAAGGAGGGAAAGGCGATGAAAGCCAATTTACTGCTGCTTTTCAAGAGAGCATTAAACCACATGTTTTAACTTCCTTCAATGTCTTTTTGAATTGCCTTCTTTTCATTTCATTTGGCTTATTTACTTTTATTGTGTTTAAATGCTTGTGTAAAGCACTTTGAATTGCCTTTTGGAATCAAATGTGCTTGATAAATTAAATCCTTATTTCCTACAGAAAGATGAGAAGGCCATGATAGCCAAGATGAATCGACAGAGAGCAAACTCTGTGACGCACAACAGCGGCCATTGGACCGACAGACCGTTTTACAACCATCTGGGCGGCAACCAGGTGTCCAAGGAGATGAAGAGGATGGTGAGGAAGGATTTTAAAAAGTGTCCTGACCTTCTGCTCTGCAGGGGCTGCTAATATAGTAACTGTATTATCATAATGCCACAGCCAGGTGACTCCCCCTGTCACTATCTTATCTCAGCACTCACTTGGTGATGAAGCCAACACATTGTTAATACCCAGAATCCTTTGATCTGCGGTCATGATAAGCAGCTGTGACTCAACCTGGTCTTTGAGAGGCTCTCAGCAGAGATGGCAGAAGTACACACATCCTTTACTCAAGTAGAAGTACAGATACACGGGTTTAAAAATACTCTGGTAGAAGTACTGACTAAACTTCTTTACTCAAGTAAAAGTAAAGAGGCTTTGAAATGTACTTCAGTAAAAAGTACCCATAACTAGCAGCTGTTTTAAAGAGTACCTGACCTCCCTTTATATTAATAGAACAATCATGTCATTGTTAGCTAATGAATGTTTCCATGCTGAACAACGGCAACATGACAACGTTTTCATTGGTCCCTCTTCTTTAGAGAAGACCAGGAAATGATGGATACACGGATCGTGTTCAAATCAATAGGCACGCAATGACTCTAAATAATAATGATCACGCCACCAAACACACATTCAAACTAAAGGAACCAGCCTGTTTGGAAAATGTAAGAAGTAGAAAGTACAGGTATTTGTGTTCAACATGTAAGAAGTAGAAAGTACAGGTATTTGTGTTCAACATGTAAGAAGTAGAAAGTACAGGTATTTGGGTTCAAAATGTAAGAAGTAGAAAGTACAGGTATTTGGGTTCAACATGTAAGAAGTAGAAAGTACAGGTATTTGTGTTCAACATGTAAGAAGTAGAAAGTACAGGTATTTGTGTTCAAAATGTAAGAAGTAGAAAGTACAGGTATTTGGGTTCAACATGTAAGAAGTAGAAAGTACAGGTATTTGTGTTCAAAATGTAAGAAGTAGAAAGTACAGGTATTTGTGTTCAACATGTAAGAAGTAGAAAGTACAGGTATTTGTGTTCAAAATGTAAGAAGTAGAAAGTACAGGTATTTGTGTTCAACATGTAAGAAGTCAAGTAAAAAGTCGTAGTGGAGTAAAGTACTGATACCAGAAGTACAGTAACTAAGTATTTGTACTCCACTACTTCCCACCTCTGGCTCTCAGAGGCACTCGAAGCAACATTTAGGCGACGACCAAAACACCTTGTTGGTCTGCTGCTGCATGGAATAAAAAAAGACCCCCAACCCTTCTCTAAAGCTTGATATTGGCAGAATGGTGTGACCAGATTCATTTTCATTCACGTGCTGTAGCTCTCTGACTCGCTCAGTGAATGGACACACACACACACACACACACACACACACACACACACACACACACACACACACACACACACACACACACACACACACACACACACACACACACACACACACAGTTGTTTTTGGTTTATTCTCATATCATCAGTCCACCCATCTCTCTCAGTCATTCTATAATGAGGAAGAGTGTTCAAAAAGCTCAATCCACAGCCACAGTACTGTTTAAGTTTTACTTCTACCTTAAAAAAAGGACTTTACCTTAAAAAAAAAATCTATTTAGAGCAGCTATAGGAGGGTCACATAATAGGAAGATCTGTCTGCACTATGAATGAATTCTTAGCTCGTGTAATTCAAAGTTTTTACTTCCATATTTACAATACTTCACGGTCATCTGTATATCTTTCTTACTTTCTAGTGCTGGTTTATTTCTATTTCTATTTTGAGATATTTCTATTTTAGAATTGTTTATTTCTACTCTTTTAATTTGTTGTTATTTGCATTGCCTTGTTTTGTTTTATGCTGCTGCAACAAAAACAATGTTCCCAAATTGGGATTCATAAAGTACATCTTATCTTATCTTATCTAAAGTGTAGGAGAAGCTTGTGTAACTCAAAGCCTGCGTTACACCTTAGTGACGTGGAGTTTAAAAGAAGGGGGCATCAACCAGAGAGAGAATTGCATTGTGGGCCTTGTAGTTTTCAACAGAATATTTCAATAGGAACTTAAAAATATGATATCTCAGACTCCAGCTGTTCTCCTTCAGCTCTGATGTTGATATGTTTGTCCAGAAGAGGGAGCTAGAGCGGTGCGTTAGATTCAAAGTCAGGCCTAAATACAAGGGTTTCATTCAGTGCCGGATGTATGAGTATAATACAAATAAAGGGAACCGTTATAATACTTTTAAAGGAATGCATACCAGTTTGTGATTAAAGCAGAAGCTCCTGGATCAAAATGTAGGATTATTGAATTGCAATTATTGGTGAACGATGGTGATAACCTAGTGTAACTTCACCTTTCTGAAACTAAGGACATACGTTGCTAACATTGACTTCATCACGAGTGTGTGTGCAACTCCTTGTTCATCCTGGTATGAACCTTTGGGGAAATAAAAAGTCATCCTCTTTGTCTCTGCTCAGCGCTGGAACCTCTATTGTTTCATCTTTTTCTTACGTCACTTGTTGTGTCTGAATCTGTTCAGAAACATCCAGTCCCTCTCATATAATTGCTTGTTAGCCACAGTGTGTGTTTCCTGCTGAGCTGAGCTGAGAGTGGGAAAGATTAAAATAGAGTGGCGACAATTTTCAGCCCAGTTTGACGCAAATGTCTTTTTTTAGCCGAACACCTTCTGGATTTCTTTCCTGCTGACTTGCATCAAGCTACAGGAAACCTTTCTCTGATTCATTTCCATTTCTCAGACTAGTTATTATGTTGTCAGACATCCAATTTCCTAAATTAGAGTGCCAGCATTAAAATGTGCCAATTATTATTGATTAGAATGAACGGTTGTCCAATCAGAGGTCTGAGAAAAGCTATTTTTTCAATCAAGAAACACAATATTAATTCATCTGTCTATTCTTCATGCCTTGGCTATTCTCTATTCATTATCTTGTCTAAAATACGTCAGAAATAACATTTGAAATGCTCATCACAAGTTACAGAGCCCAAAGGGAACTTGGTACTAAAGTCTAATACATTTACAGTGAGAAATAAACCAGAGAAAATCAACACATTAATATGTTTTAGAGTCTTATAACCGGACATTTGATGTATTTCTACTTTATTATTTGCTGTTTGTGAATATATTTCATCAATTACTAGAGATTTTCTTTGACTATTTCCTTTTTTGAATGGTTTTATTAGAAGTAAAGTGAGTCCAGTCTAGTTTAATAAAGGTATTGATTCAGGTTTTGACTGTTTCAGTTTTTACCTCGAGCTAATTCTCTCTGTTTTCTATCCTGCAGGGCTTTGAAGACCCTAAAGACAAGTGAGTAAAAACACTTTCTCAACTGTAAAGTGTCTCATCCTGCTCTGTGATTTTGTCTGAGGGTGCGTCTCACTTCGGTTATTTTTCATTTCCTCGCTCCTCGGGTTCGGTATCACCGGAAGTTGATTTGTCTGCGCCATCTTGAGTAGCGTCCCAGTGGCCTTATTTGTGCCGGAGGATCGAGGAGCGAGGATCGAGGAACCACCAGACCATCCTCCGGTGAAATCCTCAGACACTCGCCCCGCCCCCTCACTCACTGATTGGACGATGCAGCGCATGCACTGATCTGGCTGCTGTCAGACGATCAGATGTGCGGCGTCATCACAAACGGACGTCGCTTCACGTGACGCTCCGGAGGAAACGACGTCCCATTGCTCTTAAAACTCATTTCCCTGCTTCTCGTGGTTTCCTTGCGTCTCTCCATGCTTCCCTGGTGGGAGGGACTAGTCGCAGGGAAACAACGCAAGTGAGGGACGCAAGGAATCCATTTAACCGAAGTGAGATGCAGCCTGAGTGAATCTGGCGTTATGCTTATCGTAAATGAGAAAAACTGAAATATATATATAACATATTTTGACATCAGAGCACTTTCAAATCTCATTTTGCACATCGACAAATACACAGAGTCATGCAGTACCAGTTGGTTTTCCCTAATTTCACAAAGTACTGTCCTCGAGATGTACTATTTATCGGTAGCTAAAGGTTGTTGATTTGTCCTTTATATGACAAATGAAGAACTCCTTGAAGTAGTAAACGGGAACAGACTCCCACTCCCATTATCACTGTTAGCAGGACATTAGCTGATAAGTGCCGTTGAAAACAGGGCAGGAGAGATTCAATCAATATAAACGACACTTTGCTGATTCTCTTATTAATCCAAAAGAAACTGCGGAGTCTTTTGAGAAGGAGGGGAGTCATGATGTTTCAGGTCAATTGCCTCTTTTCACTTAGCATATGATTAGCTAAATGATAATGCACCTCAGGGTGGAGTGTTAGCCTGATAAATGGTTTGCAGTTGTTCCTACCTTGTGAGAAGAGAATAGAATAGTAGAAAGTTCCAGGACAATCTGAAGAGTTTTTTCACTCCTCCTGAGATTTTAAAGGTCACCTGTTAAATGCAAAAGCCAACTTCTTCTCAGGTCTCTTCTACAGCAATCAAACATGTGTCCCGCTTCTTCATGTCTCTTCTACATCACATGTGTCCCTGTCTTCGTCAAGGTGTCTCATTCTACCATCACCATGGTGTCCCCTCTTCTTCATGTCTGCTTCTACAATCAACATGTGTCCCCGTCTTCTGTCATGTCTCTTCTACAATCAACATGTGTCCCCTCTTCTTCATGGTCTTCTCCTACCAGTCAACATGTGTCCCCGCTTCTTCATGTCTCTTCTACATCAACATGTGTTCCCTTCTTCTTCATGTCTCTTCTAACATCAACATGTGTCCCCTCTTCATTCTAATGTCTCTTCTACATCAACATGTGTCCCCTCTTCTTCATGTCGCTTCTACATCTCAACAATCAAACATGTGGTCCCCCTACTGCTTCATGTCCTCTTCTACAATCAACATGTGTCCCCCTCTTCTTCATGTCTCTTCTACAAGTCAACAGTGTCCCCTCTTCTTCATGTCTCTTCTACATCAACATGTGTCCCCTCTTCTTCATGTCTCTTCTACATCAACAGTGTCCCCTCTTCTTCATGTCTCTTCTACATCAACATGTGTCCCCTCTTCTTCATGTCTCTTCTACATCAAACATGTGTCCCCTCTTCTTCATGTCTCTTCTACAATCAACATGTGTCCCCTCTTCTTCATGTCTCTTCTACATCAACATGTGTCCCCTCTTCTTCATGTCTCTTCCTACATCAACATGTGTCCCCTCTTCTTCATGTCTCTTCTACATCAACATGTGTCCCCTCTTCTTCATGTCTCTTCTACATCAACCCATGTGTCCCCTCTTCTTCATGTCTCTTCTACATCAACAGTGTCCCCTTCTTCTTCATGTCTCTTCTACATCAACATGTGTCCCTCTCTTCTTCATGTCTCTTCTACATCAACATGTGTCCCTTCTTCTTCATGTCTCTTCTACATCAAACACGTGTCCCCTCTTCTTCATGTCTCTTCTACATCAACACGTGTCCCCTCTTCTTCAATGTCTCTTCTACATCAACATGTGTCCCCTCTTCTTCATGTCTCTTCTACATCAACATGTGTCCCCTCTTCTATCAATGTCCTCTTCTACATCAACATGTGTCCCCCTCTTCTTCATGTCTCTTCTACATCAACATGTGTCCCCTCTTCTTCATGTCTCTTCTACATCAACATGTGTCCCCTCTTCTTCATGTCTCTTCTACATCAACATGTGTCCCCTCTTCTTCATGTCTCTTCTACATCAACATGTGTCCCCTCTTCTTCATGTCTCTTCTTCATCAACATGTGTCCCCTCTTCTTCATGTCTCTTCTTCATCAACATGTGTCCCCTCTGTGGAAAGAGACTCTGAAAGTCTCAGGAACAAAGATTCTCTCTCTTTTTGTCCTGATCCATTTCTATAAAAACCTGTCTGAAAATGAGCTGATCAGATTTGGGCCATATGATGATGTCATAACGATGTTTTGTCTTGTGTAACCATTAGCCAATCAGCAACCAAGGTAACCCCCCCCCCACACCTTATCACCTGAATCTCCTCCTAGAGCACCATTGAGTTCTTTTTAACCAAATCTCTCTCAGAGGGGCGTGGGGAGGGGCTCCTTATTTTCATCTAAAGTAACAGACAGAGAATCAGCACTTTGGAAACAGGGCTGAAACAGAGGGGATTATGGGATGCTGCAATGATCTGTTTGGTGTTTCAGCCAATCAGAGACAGGCTCTGGATATATCTGAGACCTATAATATATTGATGAAAAACAGTATAATAGGGGGCCTTTAATGTCACCTGGTCTCATCTTGTGTCCTTCAGGCATTTCAATTTCAGAAACACACAAGAAAACCTGAACCCAGAGGACGAGGTGGACGAGTTCCTGGGCCGCGCCATCGACGCCCGCAGCATCGACCGCCTGCGCTCCGAACACGTCAAGAAGTTCCTGCTCACCTTCAGAGAGCCCGACCTGGAGAAGAAGGTAAGGGGACACACACACACACACACACACACACACACACACACACACACACACACACACACACACACACACCACACACACACACACACACACACACACACACACACACACAACACACACACACACACAACACACACACACACACACACACACACACACACACACACACACACATATAGTGACACACACTGCAAATAAAAGAGAGCACATAATTGGCCGTGACAAGCAATCTTCCCCGTGCAAAAAGCTCTTCCACCGCCGTTCGCTTTTCTCTGTCCCTCGAGGAAGTCAGTCAAAGTGTAACAGAGGAACTGGGGTTTAAAGAGGGAAGAGACGCTGCTAAAGGGAAAAGGAAGTGAAATATTTCAGACAGTGAAGGACAGGCTGAGATGAAAGGTCAGAGCTCGGCTCGCTGCAAAAGAGTTTTGGGGAGAAGGAGAAGGAGGAGAAGTGTTTTCACATTTCAAACAGAGGAGGATATTGTGAGGAGTGTAAGAAAGTTTAAGAGGCCTTATTCTGCTTTTTGGGGCTTTTTCTCTTTCCTGTAGCAGTTATTTAGGTTTGTGTACAAGTACATGGTCTGCAAAGGCTAAAAGGAGTTTCTCTCCCACATTGAAGCATTAAAGACATGTCCCAGTAGAGACACTAAATACTAATATGAACCTGAACATGATCAAGACGTCCCCTAAAGTATTCCAACATACTTCAAACCTGCACTGACCTCACTCTTTCTCTCATGGTGCCAAAACATTGATATTAAGCAACCAGTCATGCCAACATTAATTACACAGCTTTTCAATTGAACAGTATTGTAATATAATATTTTAACTGTACTATATACTACTTTATTGACCTGTACTTCAATCTGTTTTATAATGGTTTGTGTGATAGAGAGTATGCAATGTTATTAGTGTGTGTTAATTGTTATGTACCTACCGACTGCAGATGGAAATGTGCTATTAGCTAAATTCTGGCATAACCCATACAGTATCTTCTCTTTTCTGAGATTAATGTTTTTGTATGCATGGTCCTTGTTCAAATAAATAAATCAAATCAAATAACCATCTGTTCCTGCCCTGACCTACCAAAGCCTTTTTATACACATTTGCACATTTCATGGCTTTATTTGACTGAGCGTTCAAAGAGACAAATGGGCTTTGCTTTCAGATGGACACGTTTGAAATACATAGATATTTAAATATTAAAATCCCCCCCCTCCCTCTTGTTTCCTCCTCAGTACTCCAAACAGGTGGACTCCAGGTTCGGGGCGTACGTTGCCTGCGCCTCCCTCGTCTTCCTCTTCATCTGCTTCATCCAGATCGTCATTGTGCCATCGTGAGTGAATCTCTTTGAAATACTACAACATAAAATGCATAATAAATACACGTATAAAAGGACATTCTCCCTGTCTGCAGCTCCAGTCTGATGATCGGCTTCTTCACCACCGGCCTCGTCATCCTCACCGCCGTCATGTTCGTCTCCACTGTGTACTGCTGCTTCGGGGTGAGCATCCTCGGATTGATTCTAGATAATGGCAGCCATGTATACATTTAAACGTAACCGGCTCTTGACCTCATAGCAAGTTCTTTCAGATAAGAGTTTCTAACTAAGTTCCTTATTGCAAAGTGCAGATGGCACCACTCATGATTCAAAATAACACATCTCATAACGCCTTCTCATTAAAGGGCAGAGCTTTAATATACATATTTTATACATATTTGGGAAACGGTATTTCGATGTCTCTGTCTGTACACACAAACTGAAGTTGACTTGACTTTTTGACTTTGACTTCAATGAGAAGGTGTTATAGTTTCTCAGTCTGTCCAGTTTCAGGTCAGTTTGTTGGTGTGTATCTACAGTACAGTAGAAATGGATATGAACAGTCTTCTGTGAGATTGTGCAAAGATCTTTCTGCCATTGTTAGCAAACTATTTGTAACATAGAGAAGCGTAATGCATTACATGTTTGAATTTGTATCTAACCCTTTATCCTTCCTTCTCTGTCTCCCCCCCCCCCCCCCCCCCCCCCCCCCCCCCCCCCCCCCCCCTGCTCTCAGCTGTTCCCCGTCCCTCTGCAGACGCTCTCTAAGAGGATTGTGCAGTCCAGACTGAACAGCACCCTGGTGGGCATCTTCACCATCATCATCGTATTTCTTTCTGCCTTCATCAATATTGTAAGTTAAGACTATTAAAGGTCACCTATTATGCAAAATCCACTTTTCCATGACTCTTCTACATCAACATGTGTCCCCTCTTCTTCATGTCTCTTCTACATCAACATGTGTCCCCTCTTCTTCATGTCTCTTCTACATCAACATGTGTCCCCTCTTCTTCATGTCTCTTCTACATCAACATGTGTCCCCTCTTCTTCATGTCTCCTCTACATTACATTAGCCAATCAGCAACCAAGGTAACCCCCCCCCCCCACCTTATCACCTGAATCTCCTCCTAGAGCACCATTGTGTTCTTTTTAACCAAATCTCTCTCAGAGGGGCGTGGGGAGGGGCTCCTTATTTTCATCTAAAGTAACAGACAGAGAATCAGCACTTTGGAAACAGGGCTGAAACAGAGGGGATTATGGGATGCTGCAATGATCTGTTTAGTGTTTGGAGCCAAACACTTCAGAGATATGTTTTGTATATATCTGAGACCTATAATATATTGATGAGTATAATAGTGGACCATGGGCCTAAAAACAACTGAACATTTCTCCTCTTGTGCCTGCTTCAGTTCACCTGCAGCAGCTTGGACCTGCGCAGCTGCATCCGGGATGAGCTGAACCTCAATCTCTCCGGGGTGAACGCCTGCCACGCTCACCTGCTCAACTATAGCCTGGACGCCCAGCACGAGTCCTTCGGAGAGGACGCCCTCATCTGCAGCTTCCCTGAGGTACAAGACTTCCTCGTCCTCTGTTTCAAGTTCAAGGCTTTATTGTCATTTGTACATAGCTACAGTGTAGATATGGAAATGAAATGAAGCCATTGGAAATCGACGATCGTGCTCGATATATGGTTAAATATAGCAGTAGGCTATCGATTTTCATAGATGAGAGTAACATCTACGTCACTTTACGGCCCCGCCCACTTTTGGGGAAAACAACGCTGTCATTTGAATGGCGATGAAGCCTGAAGCCACAGAGCTCTTCTTTTACTGTCCTTTGAGACCGATTGTCGATTTCCAATGATTTCATGTAATTGTTTGCCTGACTGGCCATCGTAATCGGGCTCTTTGAAGATCCACGGTTTTCAAAAAATTCTGATCGGATTGGTAAAAACTTCAGAATTTGTATTGACCGCCATTCAAATGACAGCGTTGTTTTCCCCCAAAAGTGGGCGGGGCCGTAATTTTCGCCCGGAAGTGTTACTCTCATCTATAGGACATAGAACAAATAGAACAGATAACATAGTGCAATAGAACACTTCCCTGAGGTACTCCCTTCTTACAGTATCTGTGTGTGCATGGGGGTTATTTGCAGACACCTTCAAAGCCCAGTTGTGTAAAATAACTAAGTAGATTTACAATTTTGAGCATTTCCATTTTATGCTACTTTGTACTTCTTCTCCACTACAATTCAGAGGTAGTTCGTGTGCTTTTACTCCACTAGATGTATTTAATACATCTGCATAATGACTACTTTTAGAGTTTATTTAGATGCCATATTTGAAAGCCTTTTCTACTTTTGCTTGAGTAACATTTTGAATGCAGGACTTTTACTTGTAACAGACTATTCCTACACTCTACTTTCACTCAAGTACAAGATCTGAATACTTCTACTTTTACTCAAGTACAAGATCTGAGTACTTCTACTTTTACTCAAGTACAAGATCTGAATACTTCTACTTTTACTCAAGTACATGATCTGAGTACTTCTACTTTCACTCAAGTACAAGATCTGGCAAGCAGCAGCAACATGAAACACAGCAGCAGGAACATGAACGTAGCAATAGCAAGTGAACACAGCAGTGGCAGCAGCAGCATAGCGAGGCAGAGGCAGGAAGACCTGGCAGCTTAAATAGAGCAGCACGTTTAGGAGAATGTGTTTGGTTGGTTGTAAGAGAGACGCGTCACGTGTTAATGTATCATTGGTGCTCGGGTTGACTGCCTGAACTAGCTCGCAGGCTTCGCCCTATTAGCGGTTGTACATTATGTATGGTTGGCAGAATGCAAAAGACTGTACATTTCACAAAGCAGGGTTATTGGACAAAATATCAACGTTGTGTATTGTGACTGATTGTGTTGATCAAGTGTATCTGTTGGAAATGAACAGACATTATGAATGCTAACTTCAAGATGCAGTCAAGCAGTCTTATTAATAAGTGAAATGAGGGTAAATGTTATTTTATGGTGTGAACATGAGGCGAGGGACTGAACAGTGTGTCTGTAAAGTGATACCTCAGTCTCCTTATTGATTTTCAAAAGATACGTCATTGCAATAAAAAGGACACAATTGCTCAATCTGTCACAGTGGAGCACCTTTAATTGGATACTTTAAGATGTCAATGCTTCAGACAAATGATATCATGTTGAACAGCAGCAGAACAAATGGATGCTAAGTGAGGGTAATTTCAGGTATAAATGTTAACATTTGGCATGCACAGTGAGGTCTGAATTAACAGTTAAGTGGTGAAAATTGCCGGCTTATGGCGTCTTTTATTATACGTCTGGATGTGACTCGTTCAGCAGAACCGAGTGTCACACAATATCAATTGTATTTATTTTAATTTTACCTTTATTTAACCAGGATAGGAAAAATCGCTTTTTCAAGAGAGTCCTGGCCCAAGAATGTTAACAGCACAGTTACAGACCATTTTAAAACACACAATCACAACACAGTCATACAACAAGTTAGCCAAAGCATTTACAGCCACAGCGGTTCGCTTCAAGGTCATGTAGAGTCGCTTAAAGGTCATTGAGAGTCGCTTTGAGTTTCTTTAAAGAGACCAGCTCTCTGAGTTTCAGCTCAATTTGCAGCTGGTTCCAAGCCTCAGGAGCAGCGTAACTGAACTTCCCCAGTTCAGTACGGACTTTTGGGACAGTTAGAAGAAACAAGTCGTGCTCGTCCTGTGCATTTTCGGTTTATGTAGATCCTTAGATAAGGAGGAAGAGCACCAAGAATAGTATTATATAATTAAAGGGGACATATCATGCAAAATGCACTTTTTTTCACATAAATATGTGTCCCCGGTGTGTCAGGGAACTCACGCAGCGTCAGAAAATAAAACCCTCTCTCTTTTCCTCCGTACCCAAATCTCTAAAAACGGGGCTACAACGGAGCTGATCCAGATTTGCGTCCGATATGACGTAATATCGGAAATGTAGGCTGGCTTTACACCCACGGCCCTATCAGAAACGTTGCTATCAGAAACAATGCCCGACTGTTTTGGACGTAATATGGTCGGTGTTTACATTAGCATCGCTAACACTCAGAGCTAACCTGTACTGGAGAGCATGTGTGTGAAGAAGCAGGAAATAAAAAGGAACTCACCTTGTGGTATAACCGGCAAGAGAGAAAGCCTTTGAGCTCCATACTGTTTCAGAAATAATCCTTGATAATCCATGATATGGCGTTTCATCACGGCAGTATTTAGTTTAGACAGTAGCTGCCGGGTCCCGCATGAGCTCAGCCCCCTCCTTTTTTATCAATTTTTTAATTTTTTTTTAAAGCTTTATACCCCAAATCAGCACTTTTGAAACAGGAAGTGAAATAGAGGGATATGAGGCATGGCTAGAATGGGTGATCTGTTTGGTATTTTGAGCAAAACACTTCATAGACATGTTTTTTATATATTTGTATATATCTGAGACCTATGCTATTTCCTAAAAATAGCACGATAGGTGACCTTTAACACAAAAAGTAAGGAAATGTGTGTTTGGTAGATGATTTCTATGTTGTAACAATGCTTCTTGTCAATACATCTTATACCGTTGCAAAGTTTGGCACTAGCAGAGGAGATTTGTCAAATTTGTCATGGGAGCCCCCCACATACTCAGCTCTGCTACCTCTACCATTGGAAAGGTACGAAAACAGGCTTTCCAATGGTATAAGATTCATTGCCAAGAAGCATTGTTACCTCAAAGAAATAATCTACCAAACACACATTTCCTTACTTTTTGTGTTACAGTAAGTTTGTGCCAGTGTTTCAGTCTAAAGCGTGATTATAAAATATATAAATAGCTGCATCCTTCCTAACGCCCTCTCTTCTCTCCGTCAGTACTTCTCCTGCTGCGTGCTGCTCAGCCTGCTGGCCTGCTCCGTCTTCCTGCAGATCAGCAGCATCGGGAAGCTCTTCCTCATGCTCTTCATCGAGCTGCTCTACCTGCTGGTCATGGAGGTTCCCAAAGTCAGTCTGTTCGACAACCAGGACCTGCTGGTGATGGCCAACACCGTCACCATCGTGTAAGTTTAATATTTTTACAGAATTTATAATATGAATAATTATAAATAATACAAAATAATAATATGAATAATGATACAAAACATACAATTACAATATTAGTACAAATAATATTTATAATACCAATAATATATTCAATAATATTACAAAACAATAAAAAAAAATAATAATAATAATAATACAAAAAATACAAAACATCAAATTAAAATAATAGTAAAAATAATATCAACAATTATAATAATAATAATAAATAATATGTCCAATAATATTACAAAACAAAACAATATAATGAAAGTAAAACAATAAATAATAATAGTTAAAAAAAAATACTAATAATGACAACAATAATAATATCAGTAATAATACACCTAAATAAACCTTTTTTTAAAGGTTAGAGGGTTAAACATATGAGCAAATATGCACCATGTGTACAGGGTAGATACATGATTCCAAGGAATAAAACATGGTTAGTAGGCTGGACAAAAAGTTAACAACAGATAACCCACACAGTTAAAGCAAGACAGACATAAGACAACATGAATACATCCAAAAATAAACTGAAAACTGTAAAATAAGTTTTTTCTCAGCTGGTGTGTTGAAATGTCTAGACTCTCGATGTTGGCCTCACTGATCGTCTCTTCTCTGTTCCCCCCCCACAGCGAGCACATGAATGGAACAAGGTGAGACTGATGGCTCCCAAACATCACCTCTGAGGTCTGATTAAGCTAACAGCATCATTATCCCTGTGCTGGCACCAATGCTACCATAATGACCTGCTGGCAACAGATGCTAACGCTAATGAGCCAACATTTAGAGGGCAGCTTGTTTTGGTGTCACAGTGTTCTTGCAAAGTCTCAACACCCTTACAGAATAACTGAACACCTATCTGTTGAGTTGCACTTAAGCATAACACATCTCAACATTATATATATGTGTGTGTGTGTGTGCTCCAGCCCCAGCTGCATGATGTACTCCAAGGTTCCTCTGAAGATCATGACCCCGGTGGTCATCACAGTCTTCGTCCTCGCTCTCTATCTTCACGCTCAGCAGGTGGAGTCCACGGCCAGACTCGACTTCCTGTGGAAGCTGCAGGTCAGTGTGTGTGTGTGTGTGTGTGTGTGTGTGGTGTGTGTGTGTGTGTGTGTGTGTGTGTGTGTGTGTGTGTGTGTGTGTGTGTGTGTGTGTGTGTGTGTGTGTGTGTGTGTGTGTGGGTGTGGGTGTGGGGGTGGGGGTGGGGGTGTGTGTGTGTGTTGCACTGACATTGAGATTTTTTTTCCCCCTGCGATATATATTGCGATAGGAAAAAATACAGGAATTGAAGAAAACACAGTTTTTTTTTTCCTCAAACCATCCTTTCTTGAACTTTAATGCTATATTTTTCTAACTATATTTAACCGGATGAAGGATTTTAGTCACGGACGTCTGGATCTTAAGTTATCAGAGCAACAAGCTGAGCTAGCTCGGTTAGCAGCGCAGAACTGCCCTGGAGAAACACATGAAACTACTTTATTCAGTGTTTTTACCTTTAATCACGGGGTCCGTTTGCTGTGGAGATTTGATTGTGATTGGTGGTTTGCTGTCACTCACTCAAGTACCTCTGACATGAGAGCCGCACAAGTTTTCCTTTTGTAGCAAGCAGCAAAATAATTGTAACATGACGTGTTTGAGTTAATTTGCCTACTTAATATCGCGTGCCCTAAAAAAGTCGCACGTCCTGCGATGTGATGCATGCGCATATCGCGATTATCGTCACGACACGATATATCGTGCAGCCCTAGTGTGTGTGTGTGTGTGTGTGTGTGAGTGTGAGTGTGTCAGAATCAGAATCAGAATACCTTTATTCGTCCCACAGAGGGGAAATGTACATTGTTACAGCAGAAAAGAGCCAAAGACAGCTTAATGTTACCTAAGAAGCATGCATAAAAAATAATTAATATTTTTATATATTTAGAGATTGATAATAGATGTCCATGTATCAATACAATATTGCCATAGCATATATCCATACGTATGGATTTTCTTACCCCCCCGCCCGCCCGCCCGTAGTAAGTGCAGCACCCTCATAAAAAGTCCATCCTATTATCAATCATATGGGGAGTTAAAATATCTGATATCCAAGTTATCAATATACAGTATTACACTGAATAATTTACATGTTGTCATCGCTACATGACAAGTCATTAGGGTTTAACCTCTGGACGCCATGCATGTTTGAACAACATTTGAAAAAGAATCAATTGAATGACATTTAACCCCGAACAGGCCACGGAGGAGAAGGAGGAGATGGAGGAGCTGCAGGCGTACAACAGGCGTCTGCTCCACAACATCCTGCCCAAAGACGTGGCGGCTCACTTCCTGCAGCGCGAGCGGAGGAACGACGAGCTCTACTACCAGTCCTGTGAGTGCGTGGCCGTGATGTTCGCCTCCATCAGCAACTTCTCCGAGTTCTACGTGGAGCTGGAGGGCAACAACGAGGGCGTGGAGTGTCTGCGGCTGCTCAACGAGATCATCGCAGACTTCGACGAGGTGAGATGGAAACTTATATGTATGTATGTGTGTTTGTGTGTGTGCGTGTGTGTCAGGTTTGGGGAGTGACAGATTACATGTTAAGGGTTACGTAATCAGGATACAAAAAAAGGTAACTGTATTCCCTTACAGTAACTTACAGTAACCTATTGTGTTTCAGCCAATCAGAGACATGTTTGTATCTGAGACCTGTAATATATTGATGAAAAACAGTATAATAGGGGACCTTTAAATAAGAAGTAATCAGATTACTGTTGCATTTAGAAAAATGTGGGATTACTAACAGGATTACAATGTACCTTTTATTTTTATTTAGTACAGTCACAAAACTCAAATAAGGGCACAATAACAATGTAGGGGAGAGGACATTTCCATCTCACAAAAAAGCAAAATACAATACATTATTAAGGTAATGGAAAGTAATCAGGTCACATTACTTTTATACTGTGATACTCAGGTTACCAAGTACACCTTTTTCCTCGGTAACTAGTTATTGTAACAGAATTTTTTAATAAATATAGGCCTTTTTCTTAATATACCGACTGTTCCCCTCAGATCATCAGTGAGGATCAGTTCCGTCAGCTGGAGAAGATAAAGACCATCGGCTCCACCTACATGGCGGCCTCCGGCCTCAACGACTCCACCTACGATAAGGTCGGCCGCTCGCACATCCGCGCGCTGGCAGACTACGCCATGAGGCTGATGGACCAGATGAAGTACATCAACGAGCACTCCTTCAACAACTTCAAGATGAAAATAGGTGAGCCGCTGAACAGAAGGAAGGAGCGGAGGGCTTTTCACTGGAAATACAAATGAAGTTAACTCAGGAGTGAAAGACCAACACTAGCTTATTTACAAACTGATATACAGTTCTGGCTAGGCAATATGTATTATAAATATATTGTGATACCCCTTCATGGTGAGTCAAGATCTTTGGGTCTTTTATCATTAAAGGTGGGGTAGGTAATCTTGGAGAAACCAGCTCGAGTGCGCTAGAATTTGAAAATACACAGCCAGAAAAGATCTGCCACTTCCTTACAAAAGATTGATGCACTATTCCAACCCACATTATACTGACTTTTTTGATAAATGAAAGACCAATTTAGTTACACAGAGAGTCAACACTGAGCTACTTCAGCCTGCTTTTATATATATATAATAATAATAATAATAACAATACAAATAATACTAACAGTTTTGAGTCAATAAAGCCCAGTTGACATATTAAAATGTCACTCAAAATCTACCTCTATCCGCAGCCCTCAATTTTAATTTGTCACATCCTTTTCTCGTCTGAAGTCAAACACATTAAAGACACCGGAACAATCTCAGCACAGTCTTCACCTAGTTTTGAAAAAGACAGAATACTTCCTTACAGAGCCCCTCCTCCAACACACACGAACGCGCACATGACCAATGAGGGCACGAGATAAGTTTGTGCACAGATGGAAGGCTGACAGGCAGGTAGGCCATCCAGTTATTTTAGCCGGGCCGGCTCAGATGATTGGTCGTGCTTTTTACAGTACTACGGCTTCCACAGATGATATTTTTTTATGGATTTTTTGTCAAAGCACTTCAGATATTCATTGCTATCGGGATGTTAAGAGCATTCCATGGAATATAACAAAAAGTGTATCTCGAGCCGGTTTCTCAAACTTACCTACTTACCCCACCTTTAAGGACTGTAAATTATCCTGCTTATTACATGGCTACACATTATATAAACCAACGACTTCACTCACAATATCAAAGACTATCTTCATATCGCCTAGCCTTTATTATGAGATTTAAAAAAAAAAAATCAATTTAAACACTGTTTCCAAAGTAAAAATATTATTCGTTTGTGCATCCAAGTCCAGCTGGTTTGTTGTTAAAGACGAGATATACTTTATTGATCCCAATTTATCAAATGTTTTCGTTACAGCAGCATGTTAACAGTGACAGCGAAAGACATGCAGAACTCTGGAATGTTCAAATTGACCAATCAGAATCGAGTATTCAACTAAGCCTAGGACTAGATATTGTCTTTGATTTTGAAGTGTTGTCTTTCCTGGTTTTAAAAGCTGCAGTTCGCTTAAGTGACGTCACTTTTTGGGCTTTACTAGACTGGTAGCCTTTCATTGACTTGCCTTTACCTACTTAATCATTCATCCATGTTACTTATGACGATTTTTTTAAATAATCAGTGTGTTCATATTTTGTGAAAGCCTTATCGGTCAAGCCGTCAATAGCGTCGCAACATCGTTACCAAAGTATTTATTTAAACACTCAATTTAAACACTGTTTCCAAAAGTAAACACTTGTAGAATATATTGTCACATTATTCGTTTACACATCCAGCTGGTTTGTTGTTAATGACGTACCGTGTCTCGTCTTTTATTTGTTCATTGTATTTTAATTTCTTCTCTCAGGTCTCAACATCGGCCCTGTGGTTGCCGGGGTGATCGGGGCGAGGAAGCCTCAGTACGATATCTGGGGAAACACGGTGAACGTGGCGAGCCGCATGGACAGCACCGGGGTACCGGAGAGGATCCAGGTGAAGTCTCATATCATTTTGTCACTACACTAATTTCAGAGATATAAAATAAAAGTAAAAATATGCTTTTATCAAATTCAATTCAATTCAATTCAAGGCTTTATTGTCATTTGCACATTAGCTACAGTCAGTGGATATGTCAATGAAAAACTTAGGTCACAGCTTCCTCCAACATATATGTCGGGCATAGAACAAATAAAACAGATACAATAGTGCAAGTAAATGCAAATACAATTGAAATAGTGCATGAAGAGTCTATCAAAAATAACAAAATCAGATGTTTTTAGAGATTTTTTTAGATTACTTTATTTTTGAAATGCAACAGGGAAGCACAATGCTAGATAAGGACCTTCAAGATATTCACATTTGACTGTGTTCCAGTGATTTTGGGAATGGTTTCCGTTTGATTTGACTTTTAATACTTGTAAAAATAGAGACTTAAAGATTGATGCACTATTCCAACCCACATTATGCTGACTTTTTTGATAAATGAAAGACCAATTTAGTTACACAGACAGTCAACACTGAGCTACTTCAGCCTGCTTTTATATATAAATAATAATAATAATACCAATACAAATAATACTGACAGTTTTGAGTCAATAAAGCCCAGTTGACATATTAAAATGTCACTCAAAATCTACCTCTATCCGCAGCCCTCAATATTAATTTGTCACATCCTTTTCTCGTCTGAAGTCAAACACATTAAAGACACCGGAACAATCTCAGCACAGTCTTCACCTAGTTTTGAAAAAGACAGAATATTGAGGCTACATTTAGTCATTAAAGCAGTATTTGCAGACCTCAGGACTGCTGTAGGTTTTGCCATCTTGTAGTTAGCATCAAGCTAATTTGGTCAAAGATTACAAATTAATCTAATGTGCATGAGCTCTGCAAACCTGCCCTTCAGACATGGCTGCGGCTGGATGTGAGAAAAGGCTACTCCGGTTAATGAACATGTTCATTAAAAATGGCCGTGTTGGTTTTGCTCGATCAGATGTGAAATCATTAAAGCCGAATAACTCCAAGCTGCTTCGAACGCAGATGGAAACGTTTAATTTCATCCCAGCCGTCTCCACTGCTCCATCTGAAAACCATTTACTGAACGCAGGAGCAAATACGCACCGCTGCTTTCTCATGAGCAGGAAATACACTGGAAATGTAAATCAATATTCTCCATTGGTGGGTGATATAATTCAGTATTCACATACGAACAAGCCGAGACAATCAGTGCTCCAAGGGGCTTTTATACAGTTAGTAATTCATGTTTTTCAACCATGCAGTGATTAATGAAGCAGAAACAAACACATTTTAACCAATAATACAATGTTAAATAAGTTATTGTAAAGCATTTAGCTCAACAGGCATTCCCAATTGTGAAGCTCTTTGTCGACAAAAACATGGACCAAAACACTTTAACCCTCCTCTTGTCTTCGGGTCAAATCTGACCGATTTACTACTTTCATCAATCATAACTTTTTTGTTTTACATTCGATTGCATCAAGGCTTTATGATATCCTTCACAGTAGACATTTGAACATATACAATTGCTGATCACCACTTTCATTGACTTTTGGATGGTTTAGTCAACTTTGTAACACCCATGGTGTTCCCGGTCAAACATGACCGCCATAAAGAAAAGGAATTAGTAACCATCCAGATCAGATAAAACACACACACACACACACACACACACACACACACACACACACACACACACACACACACACCACACACACACACACACACACACACACACACACACACACACACACACACACACACACACACACACACACACACACACACACACACACACACACACACACACACACACACACACACACACACACACACACACACACACACACACACACACACACACACACACACACACACACACACACACACAAACACAATTTGACACATGTCCCGCTCTTATGTGCCCATCCCCCCACATGGATCACACCTGGCACACGCAATACATGTTCAGTGTCTATTCTTTGTATATTTACTGCAGTTCTTCATGTATACCAGTAGTCTGATACAATATGTACAGTTTGAAAGGGTGTTAAAGGAAATTTGGTGATGATTAATGGTTTTTGTGTTAATGTAATAGCAGTTAAAACAGGACCGCTCACATTTGACCGCGAACACCAAAGTAAGGGGGGGGGGGGAAACGAAGACAATAGGAGGGTTAAATAGATGTATAATAGTTTATTCCCTAAAAAAATCTTCCTACTTTGTTTATATATAAACACTTCAAATCACCACTGAATAATTGTATTATACAGTATACATCTGTATTTACATTTCTCTAATTTTCTTACCTAAATGTGAGTTTTCGGAACCTTTTTCATTTTGGTAAATCCAGAAAGGATAAGTTATCTCTGAATAATTTGAGTTTTCTTTAGTTTTTTAGTAACTGTACTCCTGCTAGTAACCCCCATTTTTAGATTGAACAGTAATCTGATTACATCTCTTTTTATTTAACTGTTGTATCCTGTTTACGTTATCCCGTTACATGTAATCCGTTACTGATCAAGCTTGGAAATATTGTCATTGTATGGAGGCTAATAACCAGGCAAATGCAGACTGGGAATCTTTAGGTGCTGAACAAAGCCATAACAATGATAAAAACATAGAAAAGTGAAATAGAAATAACCCTTTCCCTCACTGTTGTCCCCCGTTGTGTCCTTGACTTATTAATAGATTTTATAATAGTTGACTTTGTTTTTATATAAGTCATTTAACACTTGTACCACTGAATGTTTGTACATCTATACTTCCTACCTACATTTTTGATAAGATTCAGTAATCTGAATCAGTTTTGTGTGTCCTGATTGTTGGGGAATAATTTGCTTAGGTATTCAACCTTTGACCCAGTTCATCATTTTCTCTCTTCACTGTCTCTTTCCCCATGGCATAGGTCTACGGCCTTGGGTATTGCTGCTATCTCTCTTAAGGAGGGGCAGCTTGGGCGCATTGTTGTTGCCAGTCTATGACAGAGCACAAGCTGCCATGAGGTAGTTTACTGTTCAGGGACGAAGGTTCCCTGGCGCACATCCTTTCCTATGGACGAGAGCTCTAGTTAGATTCAGGGTCCGGGGTCTCGCTGATAAGGAATGTTGATTATTACACTCCGAACTAGTTAAAACCTCGAGCTGCAGAAAGAGTTCTTCAGAATTGGTGTGTCAACTCGTGACACACCACATGTCTTGTGAATTCTCCGGCCGTAACTCCAAATAAACCGTCAGTGTTTGCCGTCAAAGCTCCAGCTCTCCTCGTGTCTCTCTGAGTCCTGACTCTCCATTGCTTCAGAAGTTTCCCCCACACTGATTACGTAAATATTTTACATGTAATCCATTACTCTACAAGCCTGGTAATATTGTCATTTTAATGCAGATTAAGCTTTAATGTAAACTAATCCCCAAATGAATACTGAATCATAAGGTGCTAAACAAATCCATCATAATGAGAAATACTTAGAAAAGTGAATAAAACACGTAAAATCCAATAGAGACTTTATTTCATTTCAAAGTTAACCAAGAATCACACGCTGATTGCGGATGGACCTTTTAATTAATTTATCTATTTATTTGATTTGAATTTAATTACCTTTTTCTTCTTCCATATCATGTCTTGTAATGTCAATGGCAGGACCCTGGGGGAGAGGGATTTGTTGATGCAGTGTCCCGCCAGTATTTCACTGTTCTATATGAAAAATGTCAATAAAAAATGAGAATAACAAACATAGAAAAGTGAATTAAATATAAGCCGTTCCTTCACGGTTGTCCCTCTTGTGTCCCCAGGTGACGGCGGACATGTACCAGGTGCTGAGCTCCTATAACTACACCCTGGAGTACAGAGGGCTGGTCACAGTGAAGGGCAAAGGGGAGATGATGACCTACTTCCTCACCAGCGGACCCCCGTGCAGTTAACCTCTACTGAGTGACAGACAGACACACTGGGGTCACGCGTTAACCCCGCCTCCTGCAGGCTAACGGACCCTATGGCGGACTGAGACTAAACAAAGCGGCGATTCTCAAAAACCTGCTGAGGAACAGGATGAGGAAAATCATCCCGAGGCTCAAAGCCAGCGCAGGGGACTCTATGAAAAGAGGCCGAGCTCGCCTGAATCTGCCATTGAGACCAAAGATGTCCAATGTCCAATCAGAGCAACCGAAGAATATTCCTATTCGCTTTCCCATTTTACAGACGGTTTTGGGACAAACATGCCACTTCCTGTCTCTCTCTCTCTCTCTGCCTTTTCACCTGCTGAAAACATGTCAAACACAGACGGTTTTATGTGTATGATTTTATGCTCTGTATGTTAAAACACATTTTGGTCCATGTTGTCGTGGTACAAAGTGTGGACGCTCAGCACCGCAGCACTACCCGTCCTTTTACCAATATCTGATCAGAAACTAAGGTACAGCTGTGTCCTATTGGAGAAAAGTGTGTCTGACGGATGAGAAGTCGTGGGAAACGCTCCGCAGTGTTAGCAGAAAGCTTCTCGTTTAAATTCATAAGCCACAGTATCATCACGAAACACAAAGAGGATGTCAAAGAAGAGCTTTTTTTCTAATTCTTCGACATTTTGTATTTTGACTTCAGAACACCAAACCCTATCAGATATTTTAAGATTCTATATTTTGTACATTAATATATTAGAGAGCTATCTATAAACACCAATGTGTATTTCAGATGTACATACTGCATCCTGTCGGGACTTAGCGTAGCGCCACAGCTAATCATTTAGCTTCAGCAGATTGGTTTTTTTCGCGCTTTTTTCACATAATTGAGCAAATCCTTTCTGCAGGAAGTTACAATTCGCCGACTTCATTGCGGTTTCTGATTATTCACGTCGAACCGAGTGAGTGCGTGCTTTGAATGACAGACTAAAGGACGCTAATGCATCTGTCTTTTTGCACTCCAGTGCTTTAAGCTGTCCACTTTTTGCTACATCGCTCCACAAACCCCCCTTTTCTTGCTTGCTCAATCAGATGGTACGACCCAATGAATGTCCAATGATGAGGCCTTTAATCTGAACTGTACACTGACGGGGGGGATGTGGAAATGTGCCCTTTTTATCTGCTGGTTTTTTTGTCTTTGTTTTCCAATCGGAGCAGTTTTCTTCAGTATTACAGCCTCACTCAACATGTCATCAACATACTTGCCAACCCTCCCGATTTTCGCGGGAGACTCCCGATTTCATTGCCCTCTCCCGGTTTCCTTCCGGGGTCATATTTCTCCCGCATTTCTCCCGATTTCTGACTAAATCAGATTTACTCAGGACTGTTTCCACTCGGACTTTAATACAGCTACACCATTGTTTGGTTTCCATGGTAGCGCGTCTCTTTAGTAGCGCGCGCAACTGAAAGTCTGAGAGGGTGGGGAAAATAGTCACAGAAAACAGAACAAGAATCGACAACTCTACCCTCTGCTCACTCCTGTCCTTCACATATGCTCCATAAAGGATGGTGCTACAGGCCGCAAGGCAGTGCCCTTACAACAACAATAAGCATGTTAATGTTAATCTAATACAGCTCCCCCCCCCCCCCACCCCGCGGTGGTTTTGAAATGCTCCCGATTTCTGAGGTCTCAAGGTTGGCAAGTATGGTCATCAAACACAAACATCTTTGAACAGATCTGAGTTTTATTTTACCAAACACTACAGCTGGTTCTGTTGGTCTTGGCTCACATCATAGCAAACAAATCAGTGAAATGTCTGGACAGAGTGTCAAGTTTCTGAAATCAGTTATTTAGAAATACAGCAAATTTGAGACTAATGTGTAAAAGACGTTTCCATTTTCACCGATTTTTATGAAAGCAAAATCATCAAAGGGTTAGAAATTACGATTGTTTAAAACACATTTGGTTTGCTGTGTTAGCGTATTTACTTACTGGGATAGCTGCAATGTAAGGACGCCTTAAATAGTGTCTTTTAATACATTTCAAATAGTCGTTAGCAATCAATTAAAGGTGGGGTAGGTAAGTTTGAGAAACCGGCTCGAGATCGCTAGAATTTGAAAATACACAGCCGGAAAATCTGCCACTTCCTTATAGAGCCCCTCCTCCAACACACATGAACGCGCACATGACCAATGAGGGCACGAGATAAGTTTGTGCACAGATGGAAGGCTGACAGGCAGGTAGGTCATCCAGTTATTTTAGCCGGGCCGGCTCAGATGATTGGTCGTGCTTTTTACAGTACTACGGCTTCCACAGATGACATTTTTTTATGGATTTTTTGTCAAATCACTTCAGATATTCATTGCTATCGGGATGTTAAGAGCATTCCATGGAATATAACAAAAAGTGTATCTCGAGCCGGTTTCTCAAACTTACCTACCCCACCTTTAAAGTAGTTAAATTATAATTAAAGTGATGCTGCTAAAAATATATTTAAAAAGCATTTCAAAAAGGATGTTGCTATCCAATTTGAAAGATATATATATTATATGTATTTGATATATATGTATTAAGCATCAACAGTACTAGTACAATATTCATTTACAAAAAAATTAGAGTAGCATGCTCCATTTTATTTGTTTAACCCCCACTCCCTGCAAACTGCCCTGTGGAAGAAGATTTGTCTTAATTGCTAAACCAATGAAACTCTATGTTATAATCCATGAGGTAAACAATCGATACTTTGATGATTCTGATCTTTTCATTGGATATTTTAAATATACACATGAGCAAAAGTCTTGGTGATTTTACTTTTGGTTTCCAGTTTTAAAAGTGAAAGAGAAACTTGACATTTGGTCCAGATGTTTGCTGCTTTGAGGCCGAAGAATGAAACTTTGCACTCTGTTTCGTTAACGTACTGTAACCCTGGAACCATGATCACACACCACTACTAAAACCATAAGTCATTCTGCGCCCATGTGACCCCCCCCCCCCCCCCCCCCCCCCACTTACTCTTTACTGTGCAGAAATGTGCCACTAGCAAACACAAATGGTTGGAGATGAGGTGAAGCTGTATTCTTTCTTCAGTCTTAAAGAGTCGGAGGAGCTCGTCGTTTCTCCTTCTCAAGTCGAGGCAGATTCTGTGACCAAACATCAGAACCATGGGTTGTTTTTTGTTGTCATGCCAAACACTATGCTCTTTTTTTTTTACAGTCAATAAACTGCTGAGATGTTTCAGAGGTACAGGATCTCATCTGGATTGTTTGCTGCATTTATTTCACCTGTGTGCTCAGCTTGCTTTGAGCATAAAAGCTTTTATCCTCCGTTGAAACGCAAACGTCACATATGGATTTAAAGCTCCACATACTTCGGGTCTTTTAGCATCTTTAGTGTTAGTACGTGATACTGTAGGCTAAGGGGCGGGACATCTCTAAGCGGTTGACCAATCACAACAGAGCCGGCCAGCTAACCAATCAGAGCAGACTGGGCTCTGGTTTCAGACAGAAGGTGAAAAGAGGTGCTGCAGCACAGGCAGTATGAGAAAAATAAAGAGCTTTTTGAACATTAAAGCATGGAGACATGTAGAGACACTACATACTGATATGAACCTGAACATCAGCAGGAGAGGACTCTTTAAAGTAGAGACACTACATACTGATATACACCTGAACATCAGCAGGAGAGGACTCTTTAAAGTAGAGACACTACATACTGATATACACCTGAACATCAGCAGGAGAGGACTCTTTAAAGTAGAGACACTACATACTGATATACACCTGAACATCAGCAGGAGAGGACTCTTTAAAGTAGAGACACTACATACTGATATACACCTGAACATCAGCAGGAGAGGACTCTTTAAAGTAGAGACACTACATACTGATATACACCTGAACATCAGCAGGAGAGGACTCTTTAAAGTAGAGACACTACATACTGATATACACCTGAACCTCAGCAGGAGAGGACTCTTTAAAGTAGAGACACTACATACTGATATACACCTGAACATCAGCAGGAGAGGACTCTTTAAAGTAGAGACACTACATACTGATATACACCTGAACATCAGCAGGAGAGGACTCTTTAAAGTAGAGACACGACATACTGATATACACCTGAACATCAGCAGGAGAGAACTCTTTAAAGTAGAGACACTACATACTGATATACACCTGAACATCAGCAGGAGAGGACTCTTTAAAGTAGAGACACTACATACTGATATACACCTGAACATCAGCAGGAGAGGACTCTTTAAAGTAGAGACACTACATACTGATATACACCTCAACATCAGCAGGAGAGACTCTTTAAAGTAGAGACACTACATACTGATATACACCTGACATCAGCAGGAGAGGACTCTTTAAAGTAGAGACACTACATACTGATATACACCTGAACATCAGCAGGAGAGGACTCTTTAAAGTAGAGACACTACATACTGATATACACCTGGACATCAGCAGGAGAGGACTCTTTAAAGTAGAGACACTACATACTGATATACACCTGAACATCAGCAGGAGAGGACTCTTTAAAGTAGAGACACTACATACTGATATACACCTGACATCAGCAGGAGAGGACTCTTTAAAGTAGAGACACTACATACTGATATACACCTGAACATCAGCAGGAGAGGACTCTTTAAAGTAGAGACACTACATACTGATATACACCTGGACAACAGCTGGAGAGGACTCTTTAAAGTAGAGACACTACATACTGATATACACCTGAACATCAGCAGGAGAGGACTCTTTAAAGTAGAGACACTACATACTGATATGAACCTGAACATCAGCAGGAGAGGACTCTTTAAAGTAGAGACACTACATACTGATATGAACCTGAACATCAGCAGAATATGTCCTACATTGAAGAACAGTAGTGTTTCAAACCTGTTAACATGTTCACGTTGCTCACCAACAGATGGCAGCAGCACTACATCACTTTGGTTTTAAAACATGGAGGTCCTTCGTCTTCTTCTCATCATCATCATTACTGTTTATATGTGATGTAAGAGCGGGAAGCAGCATGCTAATCTGCTGATTAAAACCCTGAGTGTTACTTCATCTATTACAGCTTTAATATGTATGTTTGTATAGAAGTCAAATCACTGCTCATTACATTAGGAATTAATGAAGGGTTTTGAGTAATTAAATACACTTGTTTAAAGATGCAGTGCTGGACAGTTATTTAAATTAAATTAAGCATCTTTAGATAAAATAAATTAGGATTTGAGGATAATTAAAGGAATGAAAGTCCACTATACTGCAGGCTTTTCTCCGGGGAACTAAAGCACATTTCGGAGCAAATACAATCCCCAGTTTTAACGTTTATGACCTTTTCAGAAACAGCCACCCTGAGTGAGCTGTGCCACAAAAACATAGTCACCGCTGACATTCTGGGTGCATGCTGGGTTGGAATTGTGTTTCAAGTATTCAATTGGCACCCTTAGCAGCCATTTGTCATGAAAAAATAATAATCCTGCTACATGAATCTACATCTGGAGGAAATTGCTCTTCCTTGTAATTAGACTCGCACAAATTACGTCAATTACAATCATATTCATTATACCTCATGTGCCATTACCTGGTAATTTCTCTCTTCTCCAAAGAGATCATTTACCGTATGCTGGAGGCTGCAGATCTCAAGGTTGGGTACATGTTTTCTTTACATGATATCCCTCTCATTACAGGACGCTAGGGATCAGAGTCACAGATAAAGCATCAGATCTCCTCCTACGCCTCATTAAGCCTCAGCAGCGCTACGACGAAAAGGACCACAATCGCTGTTAAAGAAAAAGGATGTCATTGTAATGGTAATGTCCAAGATTTCTTTAATGCTCCATGGTTGAGTTCAGAGACAATTACAGGGGGAGATATGATTCAAGTGGATTTAAGAGGACCTGATATCACTATGATGAAGACATGTAATGTGCAAGAAAGAAAAACCCCACTTCTGCTCTTCGATATGCCTTAAATCCGGTTTTTACAACACATTATTCCCTTAATTTGACATCAGATATAAATGTACGACACACTTTCTTGTTGAAATAATTACTGGGGATGTTTAAAAAGGCATTGTTTTCACTTAAGTGTTAAATAAAAAAGCAGTCAAATTCAGAAAATGAGTAAAAACCACACATACAATACGTTCTTATATACGTTCATTCCCAAATAAAACCAAACGTGGATGCGGTAATGTTCCATATTTGGAGTATAAAAGCGTTGAATTTCAAACACACATTTACAGTAACTGCTGCAGGAAAGGAGAATGTGAAGCCAGTGGATGGGGCCCGAGCCATATTGTGAAAAGGAGCGATTAGGTCATGTAGGTGTGGTGCTGCTGTTGGAAAAAACATTCAGCGAGCCGGATGAATCATCAGAAATGTCCCCGGACAGATCTGTAGTGCAGATGCCAGATGGAGCTGCATAGCTATTCTCCATTTTCACTTTTAACATTTTCCAGAGAGACAGATTGTTTGAAACGAAAGACGTTATGACACTCCTGGCTCAACAGTAGAGTGAGCTGCTCATGGACAATACAACTCCATTCTTTGTTAGCATTTGTTGGGATGGTGAAGGAATTTGTACCATAATAATTCCCTGAACAAATCTCACACTGCCTAACGAGGACAAATGTAGCATCTCCTGACTTTAAAGGGGCCCTATTCTGCTCATTTTAGGTTCATATCAGTATGTAGTGTCTCTACTTTAAAGAGTCCTCTCCTGCTGATGTTCAGGTGTATATCAGTATGTAGTGTCTCTACTTTAAAGAGTCCTCTCCTGCTGATGTTCAGGTGTATATCAGTATGTAGTGTCTCTACTTTAAAGAGTCCTCTCCTGCTAATGTTCAGGTGTATATCAGTATGTAGTGTCTCTACTTTAAAGAGTCCTCTCCTGCTGATGTTCAGGTGTATATCAGTATGTAGTGTCTCTACTTTAAAGAGTCCTCTCCTGCTGATGTTCAGGTGTATATTAGTATGTAGTGTCTCTACTTTAAAGAGTCCTCTCCTGCTGATGTTCAGGTGTATATCAGTATGTAGTGTCTCTACTTTAAAGAGTCCTCTCCTGCTGATGTTCAGGTGTATATCAGTATGTAGTGTCTCTACTTTAAAGAGTCCTCTCCTGCTGATGTTCAGGTGTATATCAGTATGTAGTGTCTCTACTTTAAAGAGTCCTCTCCTGCTGATGTTCAGGTGTATATCAGTATGTAGTGTCTCTACTTTAAAGAGTCCTCTCCTGCTGATGTTCAGGTGTATATCAGTATGTAGTGTCTCTACTGGGACATGTCTCCATGCTTTAATGTTCAAAAAGCTCTTTATTTCTCTCATACTGCCTGTGCTGCAGCACCTCTTTTCACCCTCTGTCTGAAACCAGAGCCCAGTCTGCTCTGATTGGTTAGCTGGCTGGTTCTGTTGTGATCGGTCAACCGCTGAGAGATGTCCCACCCCTTAGGCTATCACGTACAATGTGAGGGAGCGCTAGCCAATAGAAGCGCGAGTGTTACATAGTGATGTCACTATGTTCCAGAATTAAAGAAGTCCAATGGAGGCGTTTGGAGTGAGGGAATTTGGGGATTTTAGCCTTTGAACACCATTTACATGCATCAAAAACTTGTATAACACACGACAGGAAAGTGAGAAGCATAATAGGGCCCCTTTAATAGACTGAATGTGATCGCCGTGATAGCATGCATTACACAGGCAGAGGGTGAGAGACTCAGTTTTTAGTCTTCTTCAGTGCATTGGCAAACCATTTCGGACCCAAAGGATCTCGAAGAAGATCGAGCCAGAGGCTACTCAGATACTCTGAGCTGCCTGTGGCCTCAGAAACACAGCAACTCGTCTTTACTGCCAACTCAGACCTGTTTATTCACACTTCACACGTGCATAGCTCACACTCGAATGCTAGCAGACTGTGTGTCTGTGTACTGGAGCAGGAGGTGCTTTAGGAAAACTGAAAAAGTCATAAAACATCACATACCTTTCCCTCAAACACATGTCACTGAATCAGTCAGTTAATAAATAGCAAAAAATGACATAACTCTATTGGCATTGGCTCCTGAATGCACCGCCACTGAAATGAGAACCACATACACACACAAGGCAGCATTGCATAGTTTAAAACCAAGATCTAAACCAGAGTCCTGCACCACGTCAGAAACACATGAGTTAATGTAAAATAAATGTAACAGACTGGATGTGATGGAAATGGGAGAAGAAGTAATTAAAAAGTAATAATGAGTCCTAACTGTGCACAAAACATTAGAGATTTCAAGGTGTTTAATTCAGCCGTGTAACGTGTGTTAAGCCTTACCTTAGGAATGGATATAGAACATTATTTAACATTAAAATGTGAACGGAGCTTGAGTTTAAGAAGCTGTCATAAACGTGTTTTTACTTAACATACAATAAAACAAATAATTTAAGTATTTCTTACAGCATAAGAACCAAAACACCAAGGCGAATTCCTTGTAAGTTAAAACCTAGTTGACAATAAAAGCGTCTCATTCTGATACACTAAATCAGATGAGCATTGAAACACCTGGAAGTTTGAATACATTTCTGGTAACAACTAAAGCTGAAGTGTTAAACCTCGCTATTTATTTTTGGGGTGTTGCAAAACAGGAAGTGGGGTGCAGGAGGAGAATGAGTACAAGTGGACACATGCAGGACTCTGATTTGAAAGTGGCTGCACAGAAAGGAAGTCCAAGCAAATATTTTGATCAGACAATGATGGGGGTTATTCTCAAATGATCCCAATCAAATCCATGAAGGATTCAGGCACCTCCAAATCCTCTCAGAGATCAGTGCACTGGTGCTGGTTAGTTTCTTTTGTGCGCAGTGGCGTCTCCGCTGTGTTTCCACGACTGAAGATTTGTTTTTGTGTCTCAGGTCTTTGTCAGACATTGTAGTCCGGAGCTTTGCCCTGAGGCTGCCTGAGTCTGATCTGCAGCGTCATGAAGGCTGCCACCGCCACGTGGAACAGGATCTGCCACATGTTCCTCAGTTCATACAGATACATGTTGGACAGGCAGATGAGTGCAAACGCCAGGAAGGACTTACTGTCCCTCCAGACGGAGAAGTAGGCGAACAGGAAGCACTGGAAGGAGAAGAATGGGACATTAAAAAGGACATATTTTACCGATAAACATTCCTGTTGTCATCTTGCAATATGCTCATTTACATAGACTACCGGCAGCTACTGTCTAAACTAAATACTGCGGTGATGAAACACCATATCATGGATTATCAAGGATTGTTTCTGAAACAGTATGGAGCTCAAAGGCTTTCTCTCTTGCCGGTTATACCACAAGGTGAGTTCCTTTTTACTTCCTGCTTCTTCACACACATGCTCTCCAGTACAGGTTAGCTCTGAGTGTTAGCGATGCTAATGTAAACACCGACCATATTACGTCCAGAACAGTCGGGCATTGTTTCTGATAGCAACGTTTCTGATAGGGCCGTGGGTGTAAAGCCAGCCCACATTTATATAAATAGTTATCACCGCAATAAACCGTATTTCATTTGGTCTTAATTTACATTATTTAATTTCATATTCTGTTCTTGTACATATCATATTCTATTGACATGTAAATAGACTTTTTGCACTACTTTTCATTTTGTATTTGATTATATATGTTGCATTGTTGGAGGAGCTCAGGTCAGAAGATTTTCATTGCCATTTCCACACTGTAGCTTTGAGCATATGACAATACAACCTTTGAGTCTTTTTCAGGTCATTTAACATGACACAGGGTTCATACACTTTTTCACCAATGATTTTCAATGACTTCTCCATGACCTTTACCTAATTTTCCATGACCAAAAAAATTACTCTTTCTCAGCGGTACCACTGAAAATGGTTTATTTTAACATGGAACAGGAAAATAAGGTCTGAAACATGTTGTGCCTATCTAAAACAAATCAAATAGGCTTACTAGCTTCTACACGCTAAAGCAACTCAAATCTCTCACCAGCAAAATACCTCGTCAGTTAAATGCCATTTTACGTTTCATTACTATACGATACAGTATGTATTATCATTATAGTATTACTATTTCGGCATTTGATGCAACTTTAGTTACATTTCCATGACTTTTCCAAAACTTTGGGAAAAATATTGTTTTCCATAACTTTTCCAGGGCCTGGAATTAGCATTTTGAATTTCCATGAGTTTTCCAGGTTTTTAATGACCGTAAGAACCCTGATGACATGTCTCCATGCTTTAATGTTGAAAAAGCTCTTTATTTTTCTCATACTGCCTGTGCTGCAGCACCTCTTTGGGATTTTAACCTTTGCAGACCATTTACATGCACACAAAGCTTTATATAAACGCACTACAGGCAAAGGAAATAGGGCCTCTTTAACCGGTGACGTCTTCATTGTGTATGTCCTTTACGGGACAATAAGCTCAGTAAGTAAATCCCATCTGATAACTCTGTTCCTCTTCATCAGTCTACCAATTAGCAGAGCTCCACTTAGCATCAGGAGCCGCACAAAAGGAGCTGATGAGAATGTTTTAGACGAGGTAGTTGGTGATTTTTTTCTAATGTTAGTCTAGCTGACACGCGGCCGAGCTGTAAAGTGCAGAGCTGTTAGTCAGACAGTCCCCCCCCCCCCCCATGCAGGCGATCACTTACCTGATACAGACAGGCCGCCGTGCCCAGGAAGAAGGCAATCACATAATTAAAGTCTTCGTCGTCATTCTGCACACAGAAAGAAAAAAGGTAATTTTTTTAAACCAGTCACGCACGTCTAGACAAACATCATAAAACCAACGACAAGAAAATTCATTTCATTTTTTCTCATTGACGTTAATTGAATTTGAAGTGACATCGAGGGACAGAATGGACGGCGTAAAGCAGACCGAGGATTCAGGGGAAGGACAGTTTAGATCCTCTGGTAGTTCATAACTTTATTTGTGAGTGCACACTTCACGTCGGTTATATTCTGTCATTGAAAAACTAAAATGATGAATGACAGAGTTGAAGCAGAGAGTGGCTCTGTAAACTGAGATGGATGTAACCAGCAGACAGTTTAGCTTAGCTTTTGACAGATTGTTTTACTTTTGACTGATTTGCCCAAAAGGTTTGACATCAATCTTTGTTTAAAATCTGTCTGAACATCTGCCGGCCTTCATTTTGTGCACCTTGTCACCTAGTTTGATATGATTGATAGTCAAAGCTATGAAAATAAATCAGAGGTCAGAGGAAGATAAAAACTGAAATTACTTGGATGTTACTACCTCAGGCAGACTGAAGGTTCAACTAATTAGGAATGCACAAAAATAACAAATGATAAAAAAGTGCGGGAAGAGGCAGGCTATTTGGGGCTTCCACCTTAAAGGAGACCTATCATGCTATATTTAGGCAATAGCATAGGTTTCAGATATATAGAAATATCTAAAAAACATGTCTATGAAGTGTTTTGCTCAAAATACCAAACAGATCACCCATTCTAGCCATGCCTCATATCCCTCTATTTCACTTCCTGTTTCAAAAGGGCTGATTTTGGGAATAAAGATGTTTTTTTTTTTTGAAAGAATTGATAAAAAAGGAGGGGTCTGAGCTCATGCGGGACCCGGCAGCTACTGTCTAAACTAAATTCTGCCGTGATGAAACGCCATATCATGGATTATCAAGGATTCTTTCTGAAACAGTATGGAGCTCAAAGGCTTTCTCTCTTGCCGGTTATACCACAAGGTGAGTTCCTTTTTATTTCCTGCTTCTTCACACACATGCTCTCCAGTACAGGTTAGCTCTGAGTGTTAGCCATGCTAATGTAAACACCGACCATATTACGTCCAAAACAGTCGGGCATTGTTTCTGATAGCAACTTTCTGATAGTGCCGTGGGTCCACATTTCAGATATTACGTCATATCGGACGCAAATCTGGATCAGCTCCGTTGTAGCCCCGTTTTTAGAGATTTGGGTACGGAGGAAAAGAGAGAGGGTTTTATTTTCTGACGCTGCGTGAGTTCCCCGACACACCGGGGACACATATTCATGTAGAAAAGACATCACAAAGTGCATTTTGCATGATAGGTCCCCTTTAATAATAGAAAAAAAATGCCTATTTAATTGAAAACACAAACTTAATGACAATTTTGATATTGGAAGTTATTAAACACATGTCACATATGTTTGTTAAGATAAAAAATGAATTCAAGGTCATATGAAAACCACAACTCAATTTTAAGAGAAACTGAAACTGTTTGAAATGTCTCCGTTATCCAATCCAACTTTATTTATATAGCACATTTAAAAACAACAGAGTTGACCAAAGTGCTATACATCAATACATATATAAAAAAAGCAGCATAAATAAATAAAATGTAGACAAAACCCATAGGACAAAAATAAACTAATGTTTAAGCACGAGACAATAGAGTGCCACAGTGACGCGTCCTAAAACCCAGAAGTAAACTCCTTCCGGTTCCTTCGACAAAAACGCAATGCAATTTCTCCATAGGATTTTAGAAAATAGCTGGAAATAAGGTCTGTGGTTGAGACACATTGAAGAGACGGATCACGTTTTGTTCAGCCGGATAATCTCCACATGTCTACCCTACTTTTATAATTTTCTAATCATAAATCTAGTCGTCAGAAGCAAAATGCTAACGTTATGCTATAAAGGAACTACAGCAGGGTCGCTGCTTCAACGTCACGCCAATTTAAGATCCATATTCAAACGTACAGATTCTAAATGGAACAAGTTGAAGCGTTTGTTTGAACAGTTTGCAGGAGGCAGGGACTTGCTTTCAAGCAGAACAGGGCAAACAAACTTAGAGGAGTGTTTACGTGTTCGGTGTAATGACGTACAACGGCCTCGACAACTTCTGTAGTCCTATTCAGCCACTTGTTAACAACCATCGTTTTTCAGACACGTGAACTCTTCAGAAATCACCAGTGGGGTCACTGCTGATGGATTTAATGTCGTAGAACAAAACGTGATCCGTCTCTTCAATGTGTCTCAACCACAGACCTTATTTCCAGCTATTTTCCTAAATCCTATGTGTAGAGATTGTACTGCTTTTTGTCGAAGGAACCGGAAGTGGTAAAATGCTAACTTACTTCCGGGTTTTAGGACGCGTCACTGCACCACTCTATAAAACCATACTTATAGCCACAGACTGAAAACCCTCATACATGTTGTAAAAACATTTAAAAACACAACAAAATAGAAAACCCCCAATTTAGAAAAATGTAGTTATGTGCTCACCTGCATGATGCTCTCTATAGCGTGCACCCCCCTCAGCAGGTTGAGGCCTCCACAGAGGACGCTGAGCACGCAGGACACGATGCCGGGGAGCGTCACCGGATCCAGCATCTGGGTGGGAGCTGGAGAGAGAGGACACGTTAATACAGGCTGAACACAAACTGCCTGACTAACGAACTGCAGAAGCACTAAGAAAAACCTCCTTCCAAAGGATAATAATAATAATAATGTATTTAATTTATATAGCGCTTTTCTAGAAACTCAAAGACAAAAAAAATCATAAAAACATAATAAAGATCTCCTCCCAAAGGATAAAGCAGACATTTCCTGAACTGTCATTATTTATAAACACTATGATATGCAGGATAAAACCATACATCCTTGAATAGCAATGAGAAGCCACACATTCACTGCTTTGAAATCTTCTCACAACTTATAATAATATTCCGGCACAGTAAAAAGAGTGATGCATCACTGGTATGAATTAGCATACTTCCTCCCTCAGGACAACATGATTTATGTTCTCAGAAAAGTGAGAGTGGCAAGGGCAGCGAACAGAAAGCGAACAAAGCGTGGAGAGCAGGATGTCAGGAGGAGCAGAGCGGCTCCAAGTGACCCGCGGAGGCACCGCTTAGCTGGGGGGGGGGCTCAGGTGTGACGGAGAGTACGAGAGGGGGGGTGTGTTCTGGAGCAGAGGGCAGAGAGGCCGAGACACAGAGCAGCCGTCGGACTGAAGGAGACGGTTTCTGACCACTAGGACTGCTCATCCAAAATGTATTGCAATATGGACCCGTGCAATATTCAAATCACAGTTATTAAAAATAGTTATTTAGGAATCTACAAGTTCAATGTGAACTGATCAAAAACCATCTCAAAAAGCAATGTGAAAAATATCAGGTGCTTCTAATGGCGCATTTCCACTGCAGGGCCTCGCTCGGCTTAGTACGGTATAGTTAGGCCTTGTTAGGCCAGGCTCACTTTATGCTGCGTTTCCATTACAGTTTAGTAGCTGGGGCAGTAACTATAGTAACGCAGTGTAGGCGGAGCCGTGACGTCATCTTCAATGCGAACCACAGAGAACCAACATCAGCCGTTAGCTGTTAGCCCTCAGAGCTCACAGCTCCTCATATCTGTTCAGAAACTAGACAAAAGTGAAACAAGTACAAACCACAGACTGTCTGTGTCATGGTGAATACAGTCGCTGCTTTATTTATGTCTGTATAGGCCGTTGTTGTGAGTGTGGACGGTCGGAGCATATACTGCGTTAGCTTAGCCGATCTCCATTCAGAAAACACGCATTTTAAAAGGTTTTTCGCCTGCCGTCTGTCTGCAGACTTGTCAAAGCATTAATTCATGGTTTTTACTAACCGGTATCAGTATGTTGTTACTTCGGCATCATTTTGAAACGTGTATTACAATTAAATCACGGTCAAATATGTTCATCTTGTTGTAGTTGTAGCCCCCTTGCCAGCGATTCTCTCTCTCTAGTTTAGCATACTCAGCCCGACTCAGCCTGGTTGTTGGCCCGCTAAGAACCTCGATTTTATGGGGCCAGAAAAACTGTGAAAAAGTACCCGCTAGCCGGAACTACGCCAAGTGGAAACGCAACCAAAAACGGGTCGGGCACGGCACGGCACGGCACGCTTAAACCGCGCTCTAGTGGAAATGCGCCAAAAGTCTCCAGAGTTGTCCCTTCACTGCCGCAGTATATAATATATCATTCTCAGGAAATCAGCAGTGACCCTTCGATGTCTTTGTGTTTCAAAGACCAATGTCACTCCTGTTAATTAGAGCCAGTAATGAGAGCAAGATAAGATAACACTGTATTGATCCCCAGGAGGGAAATTAAGTATTATAAGCATGTGTGTGTGTGTGTGTGTGTGTGTGTGTGTGTGTGTGTGTGTGTGTGTGTGTGTGTGTGTGTGTGTGTGTGTGTGTGTGTGTGTGTGTGTGTGTGTGTGTGTGTGTGTGTGTGTGTGTGTGTGTGTGTGGCTGCAGCTCATGTCCTACCGATGCCTTTGTATTTGGAGGATGTGTGTGAGAAGCCGTTGACGCTGCGCAAGTCGTCGGCGGAGAGCTGGTACGGCGGCCGCAGCTTGATCTCCGTCTGCATGTCGGAGAGGTTGATCTTAGTGGAGAGAGAGCGCGGGCTGTTGTAGCGCTGCTTGGTCTTCTGGATGAAGGTGTCTGAGGGAGGAGAGACAGCACAACGACAGAATGTGAGCTTGTATCTCCACTAAACATACAATCAGGAAAACCACTGTCTCATTGCATGCATATATTTTGCTTTCCATTTCTTTGTTTTAACATTTATTAGAACAGGTTCCTTGACACTGAGTCTCACACAACATGGTACAGATACAATATCATACTGTTATATACAAATATATATATATAATATAATCAAAAAGTACAATATACAATAGTAATTATCAACAAAGCATAAGAAATATAAAGTCCAATTAGAGGCTTACAATATATTCACTTTGCCAAATAGCTAACAACAGGTGACCATTTCTCTAAATACACTTCCATCTTGAGTTGTAGTTTCTCTGTTACATTTTCCTTGCTTTCCATTTCTAAATGACAAACACTGGTTATGCATTTTCAAAACCCAATAAAAAGATTTTGATCTGAAGAACAGAAGGAGTAAAACAAGAGAGGGGCAGTTTAAACATGTTCTCCGACATATGAAATGACTCGGATCTGCCTTTTGTTTCTTCATTACTTACATGTGCATTTTAGCAGCCGTTTACAATGACCAAAACTGATGTTGTTTTCCCGGCTCTTACTTGTGTCACCTAGTATACACATAGGGTCTCCCATGTGATAGTTAGCTGTGATAGTTAGCTGTAACATGCTGCTATCTATCTATCTACCTACCTATCCATCCATCTATCTATCTATATACCTACCTACCTTACCCGATGCCAGCCAGCCAGCCAGCCAGCCAGCAAGCGAGCCAGGATCGAGCGAGCGAGCGAGCGAGCGAGCGAGCGAGCGAGCGAGCTAGCTGAGCGAGCGAGCGATGCCAGCCAGGCCAGCCAGCCAGCCAGCGAGCGAGGAGCGAGCAGCCAGCCAGCCAGCCAGCGACCGACCGACCACCGAGCGAGAGAGCGACCGACCGACCGACGAGGAGAGAGCGACGCCGACGACCGACCGAGCGAGCCAGCGACCAGAGCGAGCAAGCGAGCGCGGAGAGCGAGCGACCGACCGACCGACCGAGCGAGCGAGAGAGCGACCGACCGACCCGACCGAAGAGCAGAGCGACCGACGACCGAGCGAGAGCGAGGAGAGAGCGACAGACCGACCGACCGACCGACCACCGACCGACCGAGCGAGCGAGCGAGCGAGCCAGCCAGCAGCCAGCGACCGACCGACCGACGAGCGAGCGAGAGAGCGACCGACGACCGACCGAGCGAGCGAGAGAGATACCGACGACCGACCGAGCGAGACGACCGACCGACCTAGCGAGCGAGAGAGCGACCGACCGACCGACCGAGCGAGAGAGCGACCGACCGACCGAGCGAGCGAGAGAGCGACCGACCGACCGAGCGAGCGAGAGAGTCGACCGACCGACCGACGAGCGAGATAGTCGACCGACCGACCGAGCTAGCGATAGATGCGACCGACCTACCGATCGATCTATAGATCTACCTACCTACCGACCGATCTATCTATCTATCCATCTACCTATCTATCAATCTATCTCTCTATCTATCTACCTACCTATCTATCTACCTATCTATCTACCTACCTACCTATCTATGTATACCTAAGGTCTCCCATGTGATAGTTAGCTGTAACTTGCTGTGAAACCCAGTGCAGCTCACCAAATTCGATGAAGGAGTACGGCCGCACGGCGTTCCTGATGCGTTTGGGGTCATAGGTCACGATGAACTCCTTCTGCAGCTCGTCCAGGAAGCAAAAGGCCAGGACGTTGGGGTAGCTGGCGGTGCAAACCATCAAGTATCCAACTCCCAGCGCGCTTGTGAAACTGAAATACACACACACACACACACACACAATACTGCTTTTAATGCACTGCACTTCTTTCTGGTGACAGAAACCCTGGGAACTTGTAATGAGGACACCAGGCTGAATGCTCTGCAGATAAAAGAAAAACACAACAGCATTTTGTATTCGCCTGGCTGCGGCTCTAAAACAGAGAACAAACACTATTCAGCACATTTGAGCCTCAAACTCACAAAGCTAATTAAACACAATTTCACATTCACATGAACCTTGGCAGGGAATCTCTCTTTTGGCCCTGAAGTGTTAATTGATAATTGCAACGACAGCAACATCTAAATTGATGCGAAACACGTCAACAAACAGAGCAGATGGATGTGAGCGGGCAGCGTCCAACAGGAGGAGGAGGCTTTGGCAGAGGAGCAGAGTATTTGCTGCACAGAGAAATTGTCTCAGCAATAAGAGTTTGGGCCAAAATATCCTGAAGCCAAACCCGGCCCGTTTTTTTGTTGCGTTTCCACTAGGCGTAGTTCCGGGTAGCGGGTACTTTTTCACCTCTTTTCTGGCTCTCCAAAATCGTGGTTCTTTCCGGGCCAACAACGAGGCTGAGTCGGGCTGAGTATGCTAAACTAGTGAGAGAATCGCTGGCAAGGGGGCTACAACTACAACAAGATGGACATATTTGACCGTGATTTAATTGTAATACACGTTTCAAAATGATGCCGAAGTAACAACATACTGATACCGGTTAGTAAAAACCATGAATTAATGCTTTGACAAGTCTGCAGACAGACGGCAGGGGAAAAACCTTTTAAAATGCGCGTTTTCTGAATGGAGATTGGCTAAGCTAACGCAGTATATGCTCCGACCGTCCACACTCACAACAACGGCCTACAGACATAAATAAACCAGCGACTGTATTCACCATGACACAGGCAGTCTGTGGTTTGTACTTGTTTAACTTTTGACTAGTTTCTGAACAGATATGAGGAGCTGTGAGCTCTGAGTGCTAACAGCTAACGGCTGATGTTGGTTTGCTGTGGTTCGCATTGAAGATGACGTCACGGCTCCAGTGTACGCACAACAAGTTGTTTTTAAAAGAAAATCCAAATGATTTAAACATTTGAAAAACATCTCTTTAACGAGACAGTCCTGGCCAAGATAGGCTGCAGCAGTTACAGAAAACTGATTTAAAAAACAAGAAAAGAAAACATCAAAATGTCTTCATACAAAGCATCCACAGTCTTGTGTTCCAAATATGTCTACATTAAAGTTAGCGATTAATGTCACCGATTACTCATTATTATGCAGAATGATAGCAAGGATTATCCTCCTGCTTTCATGACAAAGACCAATAACAGTCATTACAGCTTCTACGTCTCAGAGTATCACAGAACAGATGAACCCTGGCTCTAAACATCCTCCCTCATTCGGACCTTTACTCTCTTCTGACCTACTTCAAACGCTCTTATTGATGAGACTCTGATCAAAAGAGATGCTGCTCTTTGAAAAGGTATCGCTGGCTCATTGATGAGTTTCTTGTGAGTTCATGTCCTCTGTCTTAATAAGTCTAATTAGCTCTTCACAAACAGAGCTCGGGAGCGTTTCAAAGCATTTCCCCGAGCACCAGCGGGCCTTTTAGAAACAAGTTGACTCCTCAAATGAGGCCGTAGCTGTCAAATCACTCAAATTAAAAAGCATTTCTCCATCAAAGTTGTGTTAGAAGGTCAGAAACAGAGCAGACACGCTGTCAGCGGCTGACAGTTTAATCACCCAGGCTTGTCAAATCTATAAACTTAAATCTCTAAACTGTACTTTGTTGAAAGATATATTGAGTGATAGTCATACAAATACTGCTGCATTGTAACAAGAACACATAGCTATCCACATTCAAGAGGGTATGGCTTGATATACTTTGTTTCTTACGCCTGTTTGAATGATATCTTGACTGTAAAGGGTGCCTTTAAATAACCGAACACTCAACATCTCACGTGACCTACTTGACATTGAAGGGTCCAGTCTTCAGCGTGCAGCGGTCAGGGAACTGGCTGAGTTTCTTGGAGAGACCCTTGATGTTCTTCTTGGTTTCCTGAAGCTCTTTGTCCTGCTCGTAGTCAGTGGAAGCAGAGAGAGGAAGGCCGTCCCCGACCCGGACCACCGAGGCGAACAGCACCATCGACATCTTACAGCTCTGGCAAACTCACTGAAGCTCTACAGACAGATTGTTGAGTGTTTAGCTAATACATCTAATGTTAAGGTTCAACACAAGGCTCTTCATTCAAACTGTGAACCAAGCATTTTGTTCAAATGCATGTCTAAATAAAATGGGGCATGGTATAGCTGGAACAATGATAAAAAAAAAAAAACATTGATATCTGCGATCATTGTGATAGCTTAACAATCATTAAAAGTCACTGATTAACCAAAATCACTATTTGATGGAACGATATATCGTGTCGTCGTGGCGATAATCGCATGCATCACATCGCAGGACGTGCGATTTTGTTTTTTAGGACGTGCGATATTAAGTAGGCAAATTAACTCAAACACGTCATGTTACAATTATTTTGCTGCTTGCTACAAAAGGAAAACTTGTGCGGCTCTCATGTCAGGGGTACTTGAGTGACCAATCACAATCAAATCTCCAAAGCAAACGGACCCGGTGATTAAAGGTAAAAACACTGAATAAAGTAGTTTCATGTGTTTCTCCAGGGCAGTTCTGCGCTGCTAACCGAGCTAGCTCAGGTTGTTGCTCTGATAACTTAAGATCCAGACGTCCGTGACTAAAATCCTTCATCCGGTTAAATATAGTTAGAAAAATACCAATTGTATAGCATTAAAGTTCAAGAAAGGATGGTTTGCAGACAAAAAAAACTGTGTTTTCTTCAATTCCTGTATTTTTTCATATCGCAGGGGAAGAAAATCGCAATGTCAGTTTTTTCCAATATCGTGCAGCCCTAGTACAGACCATATGGTGATACCTAGTATGTATACATGTAAAAAAAAAAAGAAGTAAAATATCAGGGGGCTAATATCTGTAGGTTGGTGATTTCAACATAATCGACCCAGGGAAACATACATTGAACATTTGACCTTGGAAAAAACCGATCATTGCTGAGAACATAAACCATGAAAGCTCTACTTAATGGGCCATTTAAAAAATATATACTAAGCTGGGGAACATTATGGGATCCCAGGAACATAGAGACGCCCCATGGGACTCACTACATGTTACTGTCGGTGGCATAATGTTAATATCATGGACCTCTGCTGCTGTTTTAAATAAAGATTTGAAGATATATATGGTTGTGGTCGGTTGTGTGTCAGGACCATGGACAGCAACACACAGACTGAATGAAGGGGCGTTGGGAGGAAGAAGAGGCACTACATCACGACGAGATTTCAGCACACTGGTGGCAAAACATGAACATATCACACCCTCATAGCAGACTCAATGGTTCAGTAATACTAATTGGTTAATTAACTTAAACAGCAGGAACTAAAAACGACGACGGTTTGACAGAGAAAATACGTTTGTGCTAGATAGCTTAGCATGGCATAGAAGCTAAGAAGCAACGTTAGCTTTGTTTACACCCGTTTTCAAAACTATTCCTATCTACACGTTTCGTGTGTTGAACCGTTTGTCTAAAATGTAAGCATCCCGTGTATATAATAATAAAACTAGCAAACACCAGACCTTGTTAGCCAGCTAGTCACTGTTAGCGGCTAACTGCATTAGCTTTTTCACTAACGTTTCCTTACAGCTAACGTTAGCAGCTAACAGCTAGCTCCTCTGCGAACCTTAAACTCCGTAGAAAGTTAGAATGAAAAACAACACACATGTCAGACGGAGTGGGATATTAAGTGAAGTATTTAACACCTACCTAAACGAGTGTTGCATCCTGTGCTAATCTGTGATAGAGCAGATGTTACATTTAGCAGAGAGCAGCACTGCAGAGCAGCAGCTAGCAGGTCTGTTTACGTGGCTGCTTGCTGTGCATTGTGGGTAATGTGGGCAATGTGGGCATGTATCACAGATTATTTTTTTAAAGAGGCCACATGTGAATTAAAACGACATTCTGACCAAAAGTTGTTGTTTTTTTTTTGTTCTGAGATTTCCAGAAGACATCTTTTTAATTTAATTTAAATATATATCTTTTTTATTTTTCTCCTAATTCTGATTTTTAACTCAGATATTTTACTTTTTTTTCAGAATTCTGAGATTAAAGGTAGGGTAGGTAAATTTGAGAAACCGGCTCGAGATACACTTTTTGTTATATTCCATGGAATGCTCTTAACATCCCATAGCAATAAATATCTTAATGCTCCCATGTCATGCTTTTCCGGTTATTACCCGTCCCCTTGTGTGTTATGAAGGTTTTTATGCATGTAAACGGTGTGCAGAGTCAAAACCCTCAAAGTACACCCTGTAGCGAGTAAAACTCTAACACAGAAAATACCTCCCCAAAACGCCTCGTTGGAGATACGTCACTGCCCATTTGATTCTTCCGGGTACCGCCTGATGTCATGCGGTACCCGGAACGAAATGGACCAATCCCGAAGAGCTATGGCCACACCAGCAGCGGCGTGTTCCTCCTCCAGAGGTTCGAAGAACCGGCATTTCACAGACGAAAGCTTCCAAAACATTGCCCAGTTTGAGGCCGGATATGCACAGCTTGTTTGGACCGTTTGGAGCAGGGGAAGATCCGGGTATACAACCTGTAAATTTGCATTGTTATTTGTGTATTTATCAAACAAGACTGTTTAAATGTGTAAACTGTGTTGGACTGCTAAGCCATTGACACAGTGCTAACTGTGCTAACTAAGTTGCTAGAGTTTCCATATATCAACTCTAATATCAGCAGATGGCCTTGCATACATGTATCTCATAGCAGGAGAATGTCTGCATTCACACACAAAATACCTATTGACAGTATACTGCCGTGCGGTCAGTCGCGAAACGTAATTACATTATAGCTGGCGTAGCGTGTGTGCAACCGATCTAACACACGGAGCTAGAGCTAGATTTGGTCGGAAAAACATTTTTGTGATGCTACGTTGCTAGCGTTTAAATATATCAACTACAATGTCAGCAGATGGCCTTACATGTTTGTCATGGCAGGAGAATGTTTGCAGTCACACACACGGAATACTCATACAGTATAGTCCGGGTGATTTACCGTACATTGTGACAGTACATATACTGCATGTAGCTAACGAGGCTAGCTGTATGCTAGCGCAAAACAATGTATTCATGCAAGTTACATTGTATGACCGAACGTAGCAGAATACCCGTATACGATTGCAATTATAAACACGTTATTGCTAGCCTAATATGAACCACTAGCTTTTGTTCATAGTAGTTTTATTACACTGCATTATAGTTGCCTTTCCTCCAAGCTAACGTTCATATCGTGTTAGCTACCAAGGTAAACAAAGCTAGGTTAGCATATTAGCAGGCAAGCTGTTCATTACACAACTACTACTAACGAATCTAAAACAACTAAGTTTCTCTAATATTTTGTGATTTGCATTTGATTTCGTCCAGCCAGATCCTGGCGGACAATCCATGACGGGGACGGGACTTCTACTACTACTGAGGCCTCGTGCTAAAAGGCACCGCACCGCACCGGCTGTGCGCAGGCAAGAGGAGGAGGAATGGATGATATACCGTGTGTATATGTATATTTATGTTCATTTTGTACATTTCTAAAAATAAAGTTTAATGGAAATACTTAGTAGGCCTATCCTTTCTTCCCTGAATTCATATATTAGCAAACCATGATTTGATTTCTCATCAAACAGTAGTAGTTTATAACAGGTAAAAATAACTTACTCTTTGTTATGTCGGCTCGTGGGCCACAACGGAAAGGCAAGGAGACATACACGAGTTTACAAAACCACGGCACATTTATTGTGGTAAATGCAGAGATAGGTGGTCGAGGGGAGAGGGTCGCTCAGTTCGTCCTTCTGCAGCCGCTTTGGAGAGAGACTCCGGGCCGCTGGGATTAATAGCACCGGCTACGGAAGTGTCCGTGATCGCGCTGATTACCCTCTTCAGCTCCACCCCACCGTAAGCCCTGCAACACACCTGCACAAAGGCCCTGGGGCCGTCACACTCTTCTATAACAACAGTTGTAGGTTCAGTTCGGTTAGTTAGTATAAAATATCAGCTGTACCATTACACTGATGTTCCCCGAAAAAAGCGGGCGGAGCCTCTCTGGTGGTTGACTAATCAGAACAGAGTGGCCGAGCTGACCAATCGGAGCACACTAGGCTCACAGGGAGGGGGGGGCAAGAGCTCCAACGAGTCGTTTAGTGGAGAAAGTGAATACTGCTGAATACACATGCTTGACAGAGATGCTGTATGCGAAACCAATGTGAGTTTGGAAAATTGCACAGTATAAATCTATTTTAGTATACCTCAACAATGTAATTATGATCAGTGGAAATGGCCATGACATGGGCCCTTTAAGTGCTTTGACAAAAAATCCATAAAAAAATGTCATCTGTGGAAGCCGTAGTACTGTAAAAAGCACGACCAATCATTTTAGCCGGGCCGGCTAAAATAACTGGATGGCCTACCTGCCTGTCAGCCTTCCATCTGTGCACAAATTTATCTCGTGCCCTCATTGGTCATGTGCGCGTTCGTGTGTGTTGGAGGAGGGGCTCTATAAGGAAGTGGCAGATTTTCTCCGGTTGTGTATTTTCAAATTCTAGCGATCTCGAGCCGGTTTCTCAAACTTACCTACCCCACCTTTAAAGTCAGAAGAACTCAATTCTGTTAAACGTTTTATCACATCCTGAAAAATAATTGTCATGTGGCCCTAATCCTCTTCCGTAGTTCTGAAGCTATCTGGATCTGTATACATGGACCTACCCATCAACCATGTTACTATATTTGTAGATTTAACTTGGATAATATAATATATTTTGAGCTTCTACAGGGAAAATGTCTTCTTGTTAAAGGGGACCTATCATGCAAAATGCACTTTTGTACGTCTTTTATACATGAATATGTGTCCCCGGTGTTCCAGGGAACTCACCAAGTGTCAGAAAACACAACCCTCTCTATTTTCCTCCATACCCAAATCTCTAAAAAAGGGGCTGCAACGGATCTGATACAGACTGATCCAGATTTGAACACTTCTATGTCGTCACAGAAGTGGCACTACGGCTATTGGGCCAACTCTCCACCTATCAGGGGAATGTGGGGTTGGGCCACGGCCGGCCATTGCCGCTCGAAAGCGCTGGAGACGCTGTAGTACATATGCCAGGCCTGTAAGTGGCGCTGTAGTCTGCCACAAAAGCAGCGAAGAAGACTTCCCACCCATGGTTACCATGGTTACCCTTCTGTTCATTCACCGCTGTGGCTTTTTTTCTCCCTCCCCGAGGCAAGCGTTTGCTCCCGCTGCTGTAATTCAATGCAATCCCTCCCCGTCGAGGCAAGCACTGTAATTCTCTCCGGTTAGTCCACCAGCAGATGACAAACACCCACCTCTCCGCCTCTTCCAAGGAACGAGGGGAACGTGCGGCAGAGTTTCAGTTTCAGTTTCTTTCGCCGGTCAAGATGTCCGTTAAAGTTTCAATCTTCCGGACAAAATTAGAAAAGTGCCGGTCAAAGGTCTTCTTTGTTATTTATTGAGCTTTAAAACAAATGAATAACGACTCTATATAATAAAACACGGAGGACGGAGATCTCTTTTTCTCCCCCTCTTCTGACAGCCCAGCAGCTGATCAGAGCACGTCTCCCCTCTCCTGCAGGGGGGCGTGGTCAGCAGAATCAGACCCGTAGACAGCAAACAGCACATAGAGCGAAATGAGGCATGGCTAAAATGCATGATCTGTTTAATACAATATATACCTACAATATATCATTTAAATATAGCATGATAGGTCCACTTTAAATTAAAATTATAACAGCAGAATAAAAAAATACTACTTCTGTTGTTATTTTTTATCTTACCATGACCACCGACCATATTTCATTATATATCCCACAGCCAATGGAAATATGAGCATTAAAAAACCTCGAAATAATATTAAACTCAAGGTCATCTCAAACTGTAGACGTTGCAATTGCACAGTCAGTGTCATAAAGCTCTCAGTATTTATCACACAGGACAGCATAAAACAAAACACCCACGAAGAAGAGTGACAGTGCACGCTGGTGAAAGAGATAATGAACTGTAGAAAATACATTACATTAAAACTACTATTAGACATGTTAGGTCCAACAAGGTGGGTACACAGTAAATACTGTTCTACCACAGTATATTTCCCTCTATAACTGAGCTTGTTAATATTCATGAGCTCATTAACTTTATGATAGATTCTATGTTTCATAATTTACATTTTCATTATCTTTTTATTCTTTCCTCTCTCTCTGCTCCAGTTGCTACTTTCCCACTGAAAGCTGGCAACAAATGAGCCGCTCTCCGAAGCATCTGAGACCAAAATGTTTTTTTATGTTAAAATTAAAATAACATAAAGGATGAATAATGAGTACCCAGAGCCTGCAGAGCATTAGTGCTCCACACAGACCTGAAATAGGCCATCTACTGACATCAGCTTTTTCTCCTGCTATTTTCATACGTTTCTCTTTTGAATATGGAAGAAAAACATCTGTGGCGAGAGGAGAACACAAAACAGAGATGGTTAGTGGCCTCATCTTTCATACATGCCCATACAATCTCCCTGTAGCTCAAAAATGTGTGTGTGTGTGTGTGTGTGTGTGTCTCTCTCTGTGTGTGTGTGTGTGTGTGTGTGTGTGTGTGTGTGTGTGTCTCTCTCTCTCTGTGTGTGTGTGTGTGTGTGTGTGTGTGTGTGTGTGTGTGTGTGTGTGTGTGTGTGTGTGTGTGTGTGTGTGTGTGTGTGTATGATGGATGTCTGCTGCTGCTGACAGCTTGATGAATAGCCACAGGTCTCAGCGAGTGTTCAGTGCACACAGTGTCAGGTGTGGAGAGGCAGTGCCGTCACTCACTGTGAGTCTCGGAGGAGCAGAAACACAAGCATTCAAAAAGCTCTGAATATGTCTCTTTCTCCGCATGTCATCATTATACATTTCAACTTTGAGCTTAGCAACTCTTGAGGAATATGACAACTGAAAAAGTACAGCTGCAGGAGAATCTCTTCAGGATTTTGACAGAAAT